CTTGGCAGCACAGCCAGCCTCAACCTTGGTTTCAAGAACTGACAGTGGACCTGGGGGTGATAATTCTAAGAGTCAGCTCCAGACATTGCTCACAAGAGCAGGATATGCTGCACCCACCTACAAAACTAAGCAACTGAAGAACAGCCAGTTCCGAGCTACAGTAGAGTTTAACGGAATGGAAATTATGGGCCAGCCTTGTAATAACAAGAAGAGTGCAGAAAAAGATGCAGCAGCTGAGGCCATCCAGTGGCTGGTGAGTGGAACACAAATGGGCCACGGTTACATCAATCACGTGTCAATGATGTTGAAGAAAAGCAAAAAGGACCATAATTAAATTCCTATTTGCCAATCCTCCCTCCCAAAAAGGACTTAATGAGAGGGCAGTGAACACAACTGGTGGTGCTTGGGAGAGTTCCTTTGAGAATCAATGTGGTCACAATGTCCAACTTTATTACCTGCCTCAGGAAACAGTGAAAGGTCGGGCAGCATTATCGCCTAAAAAGCCAGCAGATGTGGCCTGATTTCTACATAATTTTACACCCATAATTGATCAGACATCACCAGCAAATAGTATTCAAGATGCCAAAGTTGTGGTTGATTTTGGCATATTGGATCGTCTGCTTCAGGAGACAGGGTACATCTGAGCTAAAGTTGAGGGGACTGGAATTGACATATTTTGGCCATTGCAGTAGTCGCATTTGGATCACAGCACTGAATGATGGTGACCAAGAGAGTTTGTTAAGGACAGGTGAAATTCTAGTTATCAGCACTTAGAAAGAGTGGAGGAGAAATATACACGAACACATTTGCAAATGCAAAACGGGTGATTTCTCAAGCCATTGTGAGCTTGGATTTTCACTTTGATGTAACATATTATTCTTTGGGATAGTTCGTAGGCCAGTGTAGTGAAAACATGTTACCCTTTCACTTTTTGTTAATAAGTAGCTGCTTGTAAATTCCAGAATGGCCCTGATTATTTTGGTAATATAGCTGCAGTGAAATGGTCATATCCCAGGAAGAATTGTTCCTGGAATCTGGGTCCTTGTATTTTCGACTTTGACGAGAAGATGCAAAACTCAAGGTACAACTTTAGAACGAACGCCAAATGACAGAGTCTGATGTAATTGTTAAAAGAAAAATAGAGAAACATACACGCAGACGCCGTACATATTTGCATTGCATGTGGTGGGATGGCAATTCGATTGCCCATGACGAGACGACGACACGAGGAGACTTGTTGCATGTGACTCCAACTTTAAAAATATGGGAGATAAAACCGCTGATGGGTCTTTGATTTTCTCTTATTAAAACAAAATTTATTTTCTTTTCCAAGGGAAAAGGGACCACAATCCCCTTCAAGTTTCAATTAAATAACGCCACTGCATCTCACAGGCACAGCCGCACAGCAATCTTGACCCAACAAAAACAAGACCGCCTTCCTTTCCTTCCTTGAGTTTTATAATTGGGGTTAAATCCGAGCCACAAGCAAAAGAAGCCCATCATTTGCAGAGAAATTCCAATTTCTTTTTCTTTCTTTTTTTCAAAGAAAAAGAAAAACAAATTTGGAACCCACTTCCTCGAAAGGCGACATCGATATGGCTGTCGGGGGTCGGCTTACTGATTAGGTAAATAATGTGGAAAATAATGGAATCTGAAGCATATGATACGAGTATGGGACAGGCTGGGAAGGTCTTGCCCCTTTCATGTCCAATTGTCCATGATGCTGCTCCTTCTCCTCCTAAGCAAAATGAAAACTTTGTGGGCACAGTAGCAAAACAAGAGCATATATTAAGTAATAAAATGAGCTGAAAATGACTGCTTCTTTTTGTGCCCAAATGAAAGCTCCCCCCCGAGTCCAAACCATGTGAGGATGCGCATTCGTCGTCACGCTGTGTGCTTGTTGGAGCTTCTAGTGAACTGAATTTGACCAAAGTAAGGTCGGCGGACCCCCTTTGAGCCTTTAGCCTTTTGGTCTTGTTTGACCCTTTCATATCCCCTTTTTTTTTAATGTTTCTAAAATTAGAAATCAAAATTCAAAAAGCAAGTGCAAGTGTGTGTGGATAATAGATTATGTGCAAGGGGAGCACAACTTTGGGCCACTTTAGTCCGATCGCACATCGCAGGTTTGTGAATCCCGTGACATTAATTAACAAAGAAAGAAACCCAAACTCTGGAAATACAAAACAAACAAACTGGGGTCTCTCTCTCAACTCTTGTCTACTTACACACTTTTTATTTTTATCCCATGGGGCATGTCGGGGAAGCTTGTCAGTCCAATTCACCACACATTTACAATACAATATCCTTCTATCAATTTCATTAAACATATTGGGTTCCTAGTCACATAGATCTATCTGTAATTTACTTATAGGTTAAAATAAGTATTAGCATCAGTTGTTCAGGTGCACGTGAGTCAATGTAATGATAACCCTTCCTCTTTTTTCTTTTTGATCAAAATATATGTACGATGATGGAGGCGTGCACAACAAAGGGAAGGAATGGGTTGGGTTGGGTTCAAGTGACAAGTGGAGCCCTCTGTTGAAAATGATTGGTGAAGAGTAGAGCGGAGTGTAGTATTTTTCATATTTGATGTGGAACAACTCAAAGCAATATTCCCAAACCCAGTAGAGTAGCCCAGCTGGATTATTCTAGCCTGCCTGCATGCCTGCGTTTGATCAATTTTTGTTTCTCATTCAAAATATTTATTTTATTCTCCCAACACAACCCACCCCGCCCATCATCCCCAATCCACCCATTCATTTACTCTGTAAGGCAGGGAAAAAAGTCCCAACCCTACACGCACGGATCATCATCACCATCATTAAACCAACGGACACGGACCACTGCCTCTCAATCTCACTGTACCCTGTTCCAACCCGCACTCAGCTGTACCTTATTATTAACATCATCATGTCCTTTACTACTTATTTAATTAATTTTCTGTTGTCTCTGATTGATTTCAATTTAATTAACTAATTGATTGATTAATTAGTCAATCAATTAATTGAAACCTGCATCAGGTGACAACACTAGTTGAGTTGACGAATTTTTGCAGGTCAGGAAAAGAAAAAAAAAAAAAAAAAAAAGCAGTCAGCTTGCTCTTCCTCGCAGCTGGTACTGTACCAACGGAAGTACCAACTTTAAAGCCTTAATAATGCAGCTTTCTGCATAACACATTATGGATTTGGAAATTACGTGCGCCAAACGCTGTTTTCATCTTGGAATTGTTGTCCGTAGCCTTGTCTCTTGTGTTTTTTCCTTTTTCTTTTCCCCCTTTCCTTTTGGGTTGGGTTGGATTTGATATTTCAACACAAATTTCTGTCCCTTTCTTCTTCTTCTTTTTTCTTCGTTGTAAATCTGAATTGTTAGCTCATGAGTCATAACTGTTGTGTCTGCTTGCCATCGATGGCCTCTTGTAAAAGTCATCATGGCCGGCCCTTTTGATCACATGAGCGATAAATAAACAAATCCAAAAGGCAACCCGTGTGTGCTGTGTGCTCTGGTTCAACGGCAATGAGTGCAAATTGAGTGCTCTTCGTCTTATCATTTGTTTTGGTCAAATTTCCAATCCAAGTTTCTTTCTCTTCTTTTTTCTTTTTCATCTGAAGCAGTCAAATACTGAGATTATATTTATACACAACCACCCTGTTTCATAAATCATTAGTCGAAAATAAATGTTCTCATTTGCAAGTCATGATTTTCATATCTATTTATTTATTAGAAAAGCATTCGTACCATATACCCCAAAAATAATGAAAACATAAAATATCATGAAATAAAGTCACATTAAAAAAGAAGCATTATGAGAGAAAAGTAGGGAGAAAGGGGGGGAATCAATGAATCATCAATGATAATATACCGCAATTAAAGAAGATCCCCAGGGCCAATTCCGGTATAAAAGTCCCATCCTTTTTCATTTAATTTTCCTATTTATTTGTACCCCTCAAGCTCTCCAGCCCCTCAACCCAACCGCATCTGAGAAAACCCAAAAAAAAACATCTTCAAATCTCATCCTTTTTCTGCTGACACATCTTCAAATCTCTCTTTGACCGTCGTACCACTATACACACGCTCTCTCTCTCTCTCTCTCTCTCTCTCTCCCCTCTGTAAAATGGAATATTATAAATAAATAAAAATATGTTTATAAGGCGTCTAAGTTGGTTTTTCTGATTTTCTTTTTTGGGTTTTCTCCCATCATCACCCTTCGCCTTTTCGCCGTTGTTGCAGAGAAAAAACTATCTGTGTGAGAAAAGAGAGAGAGACTGAGATTGAGTCACCCTTTTCTCTCTCACTTTTCCCTCTGCCACTGCAAAAGCCTATTCATTTCATTTCGTAGATTGATTAATACAAAACCTTTTTCTCTCTAAGTGTCTCATTTATCTTCTTCTTCTTCTTGTTATAATTAAACACTCTCTCTCTCTCGCACGCACTACCTGTTTGTGCAAATTTCCAAAAGCTCTGATCCGACGGCCACGATCTTCTCGTCCTCCATTCGTACGGCTATCTCTCCTTTATTTCTACGTAAGTATCTCTCCCTCAAATACATGCCTTTTTATTTTTACCAACCTTTCTCTCTCTTTTCGGTCTTTCAGTCATACGGTACCCATTTGTCTCCGTATACTCTATATACACACACTAACACGCATATACGTATACTGAGATACGTACTTGGGTATTTATATATCACTGTATATATACTCTTTCTGTGTTGTTTTCATTTATGTATATATATAAATCTTATCCCGCTCGGCATATTGGTTTTTGTTTGTGATTCGTTTCATTTCATTTCATTCATTCAAAATTACGAATTTTTGTTTCTTTTAGAAAACAAAATTTAAAAAGACGCCAATTTTCAGATTTATGCTTTTGTTTCAAAATCTGACACAATCTTTGATTATTTCCAACATGCAATGATTTTAACTTCGAATTATATGACTTCTTGCACTGGTATGGGGGCTCTCGATTTCAAGCACTGATATCCGATTTACTTTACTATAGAAATGTATTCATGGTATTTGTATTTTTTCATTTGGCTTACTGAGTGTGTTTACTGCTTGGTAAGCACATGATCAGCGTGTGTTTTTATAGATGTTAAAGCCTTAACTTTGAAATTTCTTGATGGGAACTTTTGGTTACTGTTGTCCGCAGCTAAATTTGATTTTGTATACATGTGTGCTGGTATATACCTGATTAGATTTTATGTTTGGTCTTGGTGGCATGGGTTTTGGTTAAGTATTGAGTTTAGTCTTGTCATTGGTTATAGTATACTGTTAATTCCTTTCACAGTATGCATAATTATGAATGCGTTTCTGTTCTATGATATGTAGAAGCTTCTTTTGTTTACTGGGGGTACAAAACTAGGTTAAGAATTTTGAGTATAGGGATTAGGTTTAAGAGTCTTGGACCCTAAGCACATACAGGTTAAGTGTGGGACATAATTTTTAATGGGCTTGTTTTAGTTTGAATTATTAGAGCAAAACAGATGCTTGCTTACTTAACACACATACCCTTTGACTATGGGCAAATCAGGCTACGGATGGTTGGTCATTAGGGATTATTGTATATTTTGATTTTTCAAGGTTTCCACTGTGTACATTACTTTCTGAATTTCCAATAAGATAGTAAAAATTTATGTGGAAGGAGATAGTTACTTTTATACAGGATGATGGTGTTGGATGTTTATAACCTGTAGGACAACCTGTAGGGACTGTACCTTTATGTAGGGCAAGATGCATCAAATTGTGGCTGACTAGATTTTCCATTTCTTTATGAAATCTATGTCTCAAACATGTAGGACTCAGTGGTTTTGTTTTGTGGGAATCGAATATGTGCTTTGTAACATTGACAGCATTGCAAGGAATAAAATTATCTGGAATGGGGCCATTATGAAATGGGATATTATAACTTTCTGTATTGGTCTTTGCTTTTCAGATTTTCGTTAACCACTGCAAAAAAAAATTTCTCTTGTAAACTTATGTTACATCAATGGTGGTCATCTTATGTGAGGACCATATTTGTGAGGATGCAGATTCCACATGATACTACCTTTTTAAAGAAAACTTGTAAACTTGATGATCATGGAACTAGTTCATGCATACATGTTATGAGTTGGTCATGAATGATATACTTTTTGGTAACATTATGAAAAGCTTGTGTTGGTGTTCTTATCATGTTAGCTGGCTTTTAGTAGTTTTCTGATTGCCTTTCATTTTATGATGCAAATAATTTCCTGTCAACAATATATTTGAACTTTTGCAATTTGTATCACTTAGTTTTTCTGATTTGATTATGTATTTTCAGCATCATTATTCGGTTCTTTCTTATAAGAACAATATTTTAGGGATGTGGTAGGATTAAGTTAACTACATGCAATGGACTTCTTTTCCATGCTTTAACCTTATGCTAAGTTTTCTCCATCCTGGTCTTAGATTTTTCTGGCAGGCTTAAGAAAACTGACACATTATTTGGTATTTATAATCACGAGAATTATATGTCGCACTATTGGATATATTTGTGTCTACCTTTGACATGTTTTTGACACACTGTTATTTTCCCTATTACATTTCAGTGGTCTCATTTTCTTTTTGTTTCTTTAATTTGTAATTAATATAAGGTGGAAAATCAGGGATGATCTTGCCAAAACAATAACCCTACCTGATCTTTTGTTTTATTATCTGTAGCGAGCAAATATCGTCCTTGTACTGGAGGCCGATGGAGCCTAATGGTCATAGGAGAGTGAGGAGAAAGGATAATTGTGTTCAAGAAAATGGGGACACAAGTCAGTCAAATGCCGGTGATGAACTAGATCCATGGACTGCATGGGCATACAGGCCTCGGACCATTTCAATGTTACTTATTGGCGCATGTTTTCTTATGTGAGTGCTCCTTCCACTAAGTAGATCCTCCCTATCAATAGTTGGCTTACCATTGATTTTTAGGCTCCCTGCCAAGCCATTGGCATCAGATGGATTTTGGAATGTCACACCATATTCGCATGGCTTTTGATTCTTGACTTCTTTCAGTTGTTGTATAAACTACAAAGGCAGTTGAATTGTTAGATATCATGTTTGTGTGGTTGCATTAGCATATCAAAGTGTCAGTTCAATGACTTATGTGATGCAATTATGCTGTTAGTTCCTTCTATTAGGCTTACAGGATTTATTTTTCAAATGCAAATGGGATATTTTATGTTTTTGTAATCTCATTTTCAGGTTTAACAACAAATTTTTCTAGTTATTTGGTGAATTTTCTGTTATGCACAACAGATGACTGTAGCAACTGTTAAAAATGAACATTCCTTACCCCTATGTGGAGGCTTGTAGCCTCCAGTGGTAGAGCATTTACCCTCACCTCTCAGATCTTAGGTCTCCTTTGAACCTGAAAAAGGGGTAGCTTGCCTTAGATGAGCTTATACTCTACTTCTGCAGTGTTGATACAATGGTGATCTATGTTTGTATTTAAAAAATATCTTGAAGTATTAAGAGATAACCAATTACTGCCATGTCTTGTTGTTTGTTTGAATTTCCTTCCAGTTGGGTAAGTGGAGCCCTAGATCCAGAAAGCAGTGCATCTGGAGATCTTGTTACATCTGTAAAAAGGTTTGCTCTTCATTTTTAAATTTGGTGATTAGTTTGACGGTATACTCTTATTTGTTTTTTGGAATTCGTTAATCACCATGCCTACCCTTTCCCGCAGGGGTGTATGGGCAATGATTGCAGTTTTTCTTGCTTATTGCTTGCTGCAAGCCCCATCTACGTAAGTGAGGATTGAGTTAGTTGTGAATTTTGTTTTCATCTCTTTTTTGGACTCTTGTCAGTATGCTGTAATCTTTGTATTAGTGGTTCAACACTTTAATAATTGGAATGGGATATTGACATTTTTCTCTAGTCAGTGAATATTACTTTTACTATTAGTTTTAGTTCCTTTGGTCACTTGAACTTGGGAATCCACTGATACATGTTAGATTGGAACATCTTTAGGGGAAAGATTTTGGGGGATTGTGGGAAATCCAGATGTCTTGTTTTTCTTGGTGACTAGATATCTTTACCTTTTCTTCTTCATTTTTCTTATATGCAAGTACTACTTTTGCTACTAGCATTTACACTACAGTAATACTGGTGTGAGATTGTTAGCTTATGCTCTATTATATTTCATGCAGGGTTCTTATCAGACCACATCCTGCAATTTGGCGCTTGGTTCATGGAATGGCTGTTGTTTACCTTGTTGCTCTCACATTTTTGCTTTTCCAGGTTGGTTTTTTTTTCACTTCTTTTTTCTTCTTTTAGTATTATTTTTGTGAATTTTCTGTGTGTCTGTTTATACATGTATTTATGTTTGTTCTGTTTGTTGGAAGTTCATTTGCTCTGACCATATGTTTTGTTATTTTGTTCCTTTAACAAATTCAAGTTTCTCCACTGCTGCTAGTTTTTTTCTTTCCTCTAAAAGACTAATTTTATTCTCTAGGAAACTTTTCTTTTGAACTCTATGTTATGAATTGTTCTAAAGTCTAAATTCTTGTGATAGCTAATGCTTAGTTTCTCACTTAACAGAAGCGTGATGATGCTCGGCAGTTTATGAAGTTTCTCCATCCTGATCTTGGTGTTGGTAATGCAATTCATTTTTTCTTTCAAATTTTTTTTTGAAATTTTTTAATATTAAAATATAGCTGATAAGTGTCCTTTCTGATCTGGGTGTGTGTAATGCAATTCCTTTTTCCATATGTTTAATTTGGTATTTAGCTGATTAGGGAAATTTTATCATGAAATTTGTTAAGCTTAGATTTGCGAAACTTTTTATGCTCAAATAGTATAATCAAGGTATTCATTTTTTGTTTGTATTTCTTGATTTCATACAGAACTTCCAGAAAGATCTTATGGTGCTGATTGTCGCATATATTTGCCTGAAAATCCTAAAAAGCAGGTTTAAGATGTTTATGTATGATTTCTTCTTTCACTCTATCTATTTTAATTGTTCTGATGTAATGTTATGTTCTGAATCCACATCAGTAGAGTATCACGGGTTACACAGTCTTCTGATATTTCTTTCTCCTCTCTCCCTAGGAAACACTTTTTGATGAATTTGTTGTAGCTCATATAGTTGGGTGGTGGGGAAAGGCTATACTGATCCGTAATCAGCCCCTTCTGTGGGTGCTTTCCATTGGATTTGAGTTGATGGAGGTTAGTTGCTTGACTTTATACCTAATTTTATGTATGCTTAAGTGGTTGCCTTGAGTGTAATATAAAGCTTATTTGTCATGTTCAGCTTACCTTCCGCCACATGTTACCAAATTTCAATGAATGCTGGTGGGACAGTATTATTCTTGACATTTTGATCTGCAACTGGTTTGGTGAGAGCTCTCTTACATTATCAATATTGGCCTATTCTTGCTAAGTTATAGCATAATATCTTGGCATAGGAGTTCTTTTGTCTGTCCCATTTTATTTGTCATTTATTTTTATTTATCTTTTTGGTATCATTATTGTCCTTCCAAAAACTTTTGCTGACAACTCAGACTGTCCTTGGGATTCAACAAGTTGAATTGCTTTATCTTTTTGGTATCATTAATTACCTTCCAAAAACTTTTGCTGACAATCCAGACTGTTCTTGGTATTCAACAAGTTGAATTGCTGGGCTGGAACTCTTTTAGATTTTATTTCTATAACTTGATCGCATATTCCAATTAGAGACAGAGGTTCTCTGTTTCTTATTGAATTTGTTAAGAACTTTAAGAGCACAAGTTGTGCTTATTATGCAAACAGTTGCATGATGGGATCTTGTATTTGTATTCATGATTTGCCACCATGAGTGTAACAATATAGTCTGTAGTTACTGTTATTAGTTCTAACAGTTTTGTGAGCAAGTTAATATCTACAAATAATTGTTGTGGCCTCCTGTGATTAGTTCTGTTTGGTGTTCTTGGCCGGTATCTGGGCAGGAATGCATACAGTAAGATACTTTGATGGAAAAACATACAAGTGGGTTGGTCTAAGTCGACAGCCTAATATTATTGGAAAAGTAAGTTTTGAAATTCAATTACACATTTTGGTTGACCGCGAATGCACTCTTTTTGCCAATTGGTTTAAGGAAAAATTTCACTTTTTAACTTGTAATAATTGAAAGTAGTAGTAAGTGTCTCTGTTGCAATTTATGCAGTTGGTAACATGTTCCCTCTTTTTTAGATACGCAATCACAATAAATAGTTACCATGGTCTTTAATAAAATAGTGGGAATTGTTTACTGTAATATTGTGGAGTAACAACCACTTAATTGTCTTTATGAGGTAAGCAGGAACTCATATGATTCCTGTCCTTTCTGTAGAAGGATATTATCCTGTTGGTGTTATGGACGTTTTTATTCACAAGTTGTGATTTGGGAGATGCGATCTTTATGGTTTCAGGTCAAACGAACACTGGACAATTTACACCAGCTCAATGGGACAAAGATGAGTGGCATCCCTTGCTTGGTCCATGGCGTTTCATTCAAGTCCTCACTCTTTGCATAGTATTCATGACTGTAGAGCTCAATACATTCTTTCTTAAGTTCTGTCTATGGATTCCGCCGCGGAACCCCTTGATTGTGTATAGGTTGATCTTGTGGTGGCTAATTGCAATTCCAACAATTCGCGAGTACAATTCATACCTTCAAGATCGGTACTCTCTCTCTCTCTCTCTCTCACACACACACACACACACACGCACACACACACACACGCCTGATTTCAATGGAAATTTATTTGCAGTGACATGTAGTTGACTGCTTACCCTTTGGTTTGATTACTGTATTTGCAGAACACCAGTGAAGAAGGTTGGGGCATTTTGTTGGCTTTCCGTGGCTATTTGCATTATTGAACTTCTGATTTGCATAAAGTTTGGACATGGTATGTTGTCTTTTTTCTTGGTACATACTTGGTTTTAGTCATAATAAGTACCTAATCTTTTTCTTCTTATTATTAATTTTGCTCAGGATTGTATCCTAAACCAATGCCACTATGGATGGTAACGTTTTGGATGTCTGCTGGAGTGGCCCTTGTATTATTTTTGATTGTTTGGTCGTGGCAACTGCATCGAAGTTTAGGGAGAAAGAGGCGATGATTTTACTATTGTGGTACATCATTCTTTGATTGCTTCCTTGCCCCTGGTCTCAAGGTTATCGATCCATGTTGTAAATATTTATCGCCCTTTATTAATTGTACATCCTGATTCTCTTTTAGATTAGCGGATCACAGTTCCTTGAGTAGACAATATTTATTCTTTCCTGCTAGCCAGGCTGTTGCAAATACTTTAAGGCTCGGAAATTACTGGTTTGCCACAATTACTGGCAGGTTTTTTCCGAGTCTGAGGATGAGCCATTTTGAACTACCAATTCCTTTATGTTGTAATGTTTAGGTTTTTTATTTTATGGGTTATAACTTATAAAATTGTCAGTAAAAGATTTCATATATGTAATAATGTACCAAATGACAATGGAAGCTTTCGTTCTACCATTTTAATGATGGAATTACTATTAACTTTTATCAAATAATATGACAACAATGGCTATACAGATCCATATCAAACGACTCATTTTAATAATTCCCTGTTTGGTCCCTTTACCTATGAAGCTAAGCTAATGTTCATTTTTCACAATCATCATCTCCACTAATTACACTTATTTCACTCTGTAGAATCCACGATGCTTCTTGTGTTCTGTTACCCTCTTCTGGGTACTTGCCATTTACACCTCTGGCTCGTTTATTAGGATCTTCAGTCAGCTTCCCATGAAGCTCGCAGAACCAAGACAATGAAATATCCTTGGGGGTTTAGCGCGTACCCACAGCATGCCTTTTTACCATTCAAATCCTAAATCCTTTTAGGCAGTGGACGAGTCAGTGAGTTCAAAGATTGGACAAGCTTCTAAACCCCTTTGTCCTATACAATATTTGCTACATAGAAGAAAATGGGGTGATGGGTGATTTTTTCTTCCATGTAGTTCTTCCTCTAACTATCTCTTCATTTTTAGTCTCCCCATTGATTTGGAGGAGATGTGTATACCTCAATGGCTGCTTCTCAAACCCTAGGAACCCACCACCCTCAAGAATTCCAGCTGCCAAAGAAAACCCATTCATTAAATTCATGTCGCGGTTCTCTTGTTGTTTCAGTCCCTCTATAAGCATTCCTTCTTCATCTGGATCACAAAGTGATTGAACTATATCTGAACTCCCACATTCCCTTCTGTATTCTAGTATGATGTCAGACAGTTGGTGGGACTCCAAAATATGGTCCGGAATGGTCTGTCGAAAACAGAGATGAACCTAAATTAATTAATAATGGAAAAAAAAAAACTTCATCAGGCTGATATTGGTTATATTTACCTCAAGCATCCATCTAACATACTTCACATTGTTGACATGGTGGTTCATGTCCAAATCACTTCTCTTGGGCTACACAAATTAATAAGAAAATAGCATATTCAGCATATGCTTAAATTCTTTTAACTGTACATATGGATGTGCTTGGTATGTTGGAGTGATTTGGACATGAGATTTTTACCTTCAAGTTGCTGTTCACATACATAGCCTTGTTGTCCAACTTGACAATTTTCTCAGGGACATCATCTGCAATGGCCTGTTTCCCTATAAACCAAGGTTCAATCTCAGCCCTCACCTCTTCTGGCATTTTCGAGAGGCGCCTTGTTTTCCGGTTCATCATCACCCAGGTGCTGTTCCATGTTTTGGACAAGCATAATATCAATGATGAGACTGAGAAATAATCAATCATAAGGTAAAGGACATGGAAGTGATGGCAAGTTTGAAGAAATTATTTGATACCTGGTTGCCCGAGCAAAAACTTGGCCTGTGGCTTGGCTTCGGATTAACCAGTCACGCTTCATACCATTCTTCCCTGATGCTCTTACCCAAGTGTCAATTTCCAGTACCTCTCCCCTGCATAATTTACTTCAAATTAGGTCCATGCTATAAAGTTGGTAGCAAATTAATAGAGATCAACATCAGTATTGCTTCAGTTTTTTTCATAAATTTGATGGTTAGTTGGAGTTACCAGATTGCATACTGATCAACTTGAACTTGCATTCTGGAGACAACCCAAATAAGATCATTCTTCATCATTCCATGGGTTGCTCCAAATCCATCACTGAGGAGTCCAGACATCCACACATGATTCAAAGCTGTTTCCTGCGTACCAAAAGCTATGAAATTCTAGCTAATTCTGAAAAATATGAAACCAGACTTGAAAGTTAGTTTAATTTATCACCTGAAGAAGATTGAGGATGCTCTCCAATGTTGCAGTTTTATCAGGACCGACCTCATAGGACCTAATAACAACCCTCTGTCTATACCCCACGCCCCCTTCAACGGCGATCCCTTGTCGAAAATGATCGACAGACTGCTTCGTTGTCGGGATGTTCTGTCGAACTTTCTGTTCAGTCATGTAGCCATTTGCAGTAACAGAAGCAACAGAAGTGAAAGTGGTTGTCACTCCAGCCTCAACCTGCTTGGTTGTGGACTTGGTAGAAGTTCCATTAATCTTGATGTTATTCAGCTTTTGCTTATTCGGGTCGTAGCTATCCCTGTTGGAAGAGCACCTTACAGGAAAGTAGGCCAGATATGAGAAGGTGGCCATTTCTATTTTCCTTTTAGTTGGGTAGAAAGGTTGAAACTGAGAAATGGGGAATGAGATGTTTAAATAGTTTCCAAAGGACGGAGCTGTCGAAAAATAAGTTAAAAAAGTTAAGGGACAAAAAGAGGGAACCTTGTTATAGGAGTTGTATATATCAAAGATTGCCTTGTGTCCATTGAAAGAGAGTGGGTTTTGGAGCTCCAAATTTGAGTTGTGCTAACATAGTTATGATCGATTGACAAAGAAGACAAAAGGGTAAGTATTATTTTGTCACATCTGTATATGTTTTTTTTTCCTGTCATATGTTGGTAGAGTGAAATGAAATTACAAAGTAGGCTGGATGTGGTGGTTTTATGGCATGGACATCAGCGTGTGCTTGCAGTATGATCAATAAAAACAAATGTTTCATTCCAAACTTTCTCTAAAAGGACATTAGGCAACCAATAGGCTGGGACTTTGACTGCATGTGTGCTAGAGAACCCAAGTCTTCCTTCCTTCTCAGGGGAGAGAGTGGTTTGGTTTGATTCTTATTTTTGAAAGTTACCTTTGTTTTTTGTTAATGAAAATGGATAACTATTAAAAGTAAGATGCTGTTGCTGTAATGCTGTAATACAGTAAACTACCACAAGACAAACGGTAGTTTTCTTTGCCTCCAGAAGTTGATTCTTGGGTCTATTTACGCAGTCAAGAAATTGGTTTGTTTCTTTATGCCCAAGCAAACAAAACCCACAAAATATTTTGGTTCAGTTTGACTTGTAACGATGACAGCATTGTTATTAGTTACCCGAGAGAGAGAGAGAGAGAGAGAGAGAGAGAGAGAAAGAGATATGAGGTTGGGAATGGTTTTCTATAGAAGGGAACAAGAAAGCAAAGCCTAGGGTGGATTATGTGTGTCCATGAAAATGAAAGGGTATTAGAATAAACATATATAATGAGACATAATGAGACATGCAGCATTTCTCTACCTTCGATTTTCTGCTCAACCAATTAGTAAATCTAAGCCCCACCGGTGATTTCCATGTTGATAATGCAAGCATTTTCCTTTGGTCTCATTATACATGCATTGGAGTGAACGATTTCAAATTGGATTTTTTTCACTCTATTTTTCAACATTACGTGGTTAGTTAATTACTAATCACCATTGTTGCAAATGTTTGTACTTTCCATTTACTTTTGGAATAGAGAACGACTGTCTGTCATAATTCCTACTAAACAACAACAAAACTTACACTGCCTTTAAAGTTTCTTCTCCCAATAATAAAGGAAGTGCCAACGTAGTTTGGACCAGTAAAAAAATGTATTGATTTGCAGACTAGTGGTCTCAAGTTCGAACCACATAGCACCTTAGTAGGGTATGTGAGAAACCCCCTTATAGTTCGACTATCGCTTCCACTTAAAAAGAGAGAAGTTTTGAGGTTTGGGGGGTAATCTTTCAAAACCCAAATATGCACATTTGTTGAAAGAGAGTTGTGAAATTAATCATTTCATTTAACAATGGTAAAAAGGAAAAAATACAATAATGGTGAAGTTCTAATTTCTGACCCATGAAAAACATAAAGCCTCATTAAAAAGAACAAAAGCAACAATAATTACTCCCACTGTTTTGGATGTTTCAAACTGCGAACTGATCGAGTAAAGTATCTTTGACAGAATTGCTTTCAATTACCGGGCACACACATGCGGCAGCCAAGGAGATGCATGCAGACCAACAAACCAGAGTAAATGTTGTACCAGCAGAGACAGACACGGACAGAGACAGCTATTGGGTGTAATCATTTTCTGCCTGGAAGGGAAAGGTAATGAAAATGGTGCTTGTTGCATTTCCCCTTCCTTACCCATGGGAAAAACCTAAAGCAATTCTGGGTCTGGTCCTAATCTCAACAAGGACTCGTACAAACAACTCAGGCTCAATAAATAACAGCTTGAAAATGATCAGAGACCCACTCGGTGTTGCAAAAAGCTAAGGGCTTTTCTTCAATGGTGTCAAAAATAAGGTATCGGAAATGAATCTCAGAGAGAGTTTTGGTGGCTTGGCTAGTGAAGTAGTTGAAGGGCAGTTGTGGAAGGAACCAGAGAGGGGAAAGAGAAGGCGTACCTTGAGAGCAAGAGGGTGTGAGGCAGAGGCAGAGGCAGGTAAAGCTTGTGAAGCTCTGGCGCAGAGGATCATTGAGTGCAGAGGGGTTTAGTAAATAGTGGAAGCTCAAAGATGGGTTCTGGGTTTTGGGTTTTGAGAGGCAGAGAGTGGAAGCAGCGGTAGCTGTTGCCTCTCTATATTCCAGACCCGAGCCCAAACTCAAACCCAAAACGTTGGACTTCTGATTCGTAATTCGAATATGAACGTTATTGTCACAAGACCACCACTTCTATTCTATCTAGGTTTTAGGGTAAAATGAGGGTAAATGCTCTTAAATCTATACCTCCAAAACATGGTGGATTTTTGTGAAACATGTGTGGACTGTATTAATTTATTTATAAGCAAGAAAAGTGTTTTTTTTTTTAAATAAAATTTACATCATGAAAAATTGATAGCAACAATGAATCACTAATGAAACAAATTCTAGAAATCACATGTCCAATTATCATACACACGAAGCAGCTAACCAGCCATCAATCCCGTCTCTTCAGCCACTATTTTTGACGATCCATTAATTGTTGAAGAATGGCCTGTCAACACAAACAAAATGATGCCCCCCAATCACTTTCAGAGCTCAAGAAACCCAAGTGGCTGGTATAAGATTAATTCAAACATATTGAAAAGAGAAAAAAAGAGTTTAGGTTCGTTAAGTATTTCAAAAACTTAAGTTCGCTTACAGAAGGAAAAAATTATTTTCATCATTAAGATCAAGGGATGATGACATATCATCTAACATGCATATGTCTGAGTTTTGAAGCTACAAACGAAAAAAAGGAGCTTCGATAAGTTGAATTCTAACCTGATTTAACACGATAGTTTTTCTTATTAAATTACTAAGTTGCAAGCACATCCAGACAATAACTCAAAATTTTCTAGTAGTAGTAACTTACGGGACAGGAACCATATGATTTCAGGCCCTGGTGCAGTTCGTGGAATGAGACTAAAAGCTTCACAGGAGAAAACTCAACAGAGTGGTTTTGTCCTCTATTGTCTGTATAGCCAATCAGTTCACGTTGTAGAAGGTGTTCAAATGCCTGCAGAAGTGAGAAATGAAAGTATTGTGCTAAAACTGGAACAACACACTAAGATTTTTTATAAAAACAATTTTAGTAAGGAGCTAGCATACCCGTAAGCAAACATTTCTTGCAAAATAGTCAGATGTCTTGACCGAATCATGTATGCTTTTGTACTCTGCAACATATGCCAAACATGTAAGCAAAAACTTAATGATAGCACTTAGAAAAATAAGAATCAGACATTCACCTTTCATTACAGAATTGAAATTGTATGAGTTCTGCTCTTTAACTTCCAACCTCTTCATGCATACCAGAATGTAAAGTTCCAATATGGAGCAATCTGCTTGAAATCATTGATTTTCATAAGAAGAAGAAAAAGAAAAAGAGAGAAGAAGAAGAAGACAGGAACCAGAGATTATTGCTTTGTTTTGCGTCACTGTTAGATACACAAGTTTTCGGCGGGCAAAAACTATGGGAGAAAAAAAATGCAGATAATGAAGTCCAATGAAGCAAGATATAAATTCTCCGACCTTTTATGCATTCCAACTTTGGATGCCTCTGGATATTTGAAAGTGCAGCTTTGAAGTTTTCTAGTGACAGCATTCCAGACTCCAAATCCATATAAGAAACAGCACGGAATCTAGTGTCATGGTCCATGACCAGTATGTTTAGTATATGATGAATGATGGATATTAAAAGCAAGACCTCCATTCAATTCTTTCAGATTCAAGAAGTACAACTTACAGATATCTCAACAAATGTTTGACAGTTGAATCAAAATTCAGATATGTACTAATAATCTCTTTAAATCTGTCATCTGCCAATATATTCTGCAAAAATGTCAAGGACTTTACAATCTCAATGATCTTATCCGCTAGAATACTTTAAAATGAAATACATATTTCTAAATGACAATATTTCCATGTTATCTCATCAAAAAAACATAGTCAGGAAAGGATACTTGAAGTTTTGCGTTGAAGGCAACAGCATAGTCTGGAGGAAAGCTTGAGTCTGTTGGCAATGATAAAATGTGCTCCAACAATCTTCCTCATTTGGACATTAAGAAAATTAAAAACAATTACTACACTGGAAGTGCCAACATTTGGGGCAGAAACAATAAAAACACCTGAGCAGTAGTTAGCAATTTTACCGCTGTATGTCATCGTTAGCAGGAGGAAGAAACAAAAGCTTTCTATGTGAAAAACGTGATCTTACTCTTTTGTCCAAAAGCATATCAGCATCCTGCATGACAAAGTCCAATTCCCACTAACATTAGCATTTTCATCACTAGTTGGTCTGAGTCCGAGTTTATTAACAATTAATCAGACTAAGGCTACCATTCCACATCTCATTTAGAATTTTATCATTTATAGCTAAAGAACACAGAAATTCAAAAGCAACATACCAGTCGGCAGCTCACACCAATGACGACAGCTTGAGATGTTACTGACTGCATTGCATCAAGCAAACTATAAAGTAACTTCTGTTTTCCCTATAAAGAACCATAAATGAAGAACAACTTCACAGTCAGTGTGTTTTACTTTTTATTCTATAATGACAGCCAGAATTCCATTCTTTTGCATGGTCTAGACTTAAAAATGCATTTGTACATCATGAATGTATGCATTGATGCAAAGTGGGTCAAAATTTACATCAGGCCAGAATCATAACATATTTTGGTAGGTGTCCCAGAAGATCATCATTAAGTCATACACTTATCACGCCTTAGATGTATATGTTTAGCTTGTAAGTTAGACACGTCTTAACCTGCAATTTCTAGTGTAACTTTCCAACCCCAAATGAGATTTACAAGTTATCTAAAATTTCCATCTCTTCGTAATGCTGTTTCTGCAGTGCCAGGCTTTTCTTACTGTTAACTACACAATGTTCTCAACAAGACTACCAGAATGTTCAAAACTTGTTCATTAATAGCTTTTCACACATCTTCAGAAGTTTCAACCATGATGATGCACTTCTAGGCATAAAAGTTCTGAGAAACTAGCCCTGTAAAGGAAAGCTTTTACATCGCCCACTGTCACTTTTAATCAAATGAAGCGGCCAAAAATACAAAAATGAATGTCAAACTGCAAGGCTTCAGCAATGAAAAAACAAGTGGGCACAGGATGATGAGGTCTTACCAGAGCAAACAAGTCAAACTCATCCAAAACAAAAATAATTGTTTTATGTGCTAATCCACACTCCCTAATTATCAGAGAAACAAATCTGTCAGAACTTCTAAACCATTTGACAAGAATCACATCAAGAAATATTTACACACCTTAACATGGCTATCATAAACTGGGAGTTATCATCAAATGATGCCTACAAAAGTCAACACAAAATTAAGAAACCATAAATTGTTGGAAGTAAAATCCTTCAAAAGTGGTTTCCGAAAAAATTATGCACGTTACCATTCTTGAGAAAACCAACTGATGCTCCATGCATAGCTGTCTAGCAATTTCCTGAATAACCAACAACCATCTTAAACAAAGAAGAAAATAACATTACTGTCTAGAATATCCTGAATGATTTCACAGTTTAAAATCACCATTTATAGTACGATCACTAATATAAAACCGCCACACCCAGAACATTATTACTTTGGAAAAGAAGGCTAGATCATCAACCTTAAATGCGCAGTTGTCACTGCTATGCAACAGGCCACTCAACCTAATCTGTAGAACAATGTACATAGAAAATCAAATTACATGTACATTAAACAGAAAAGAACTGAAAAATTCAAAGATATTATAGAGAGTAGAAAAGTGAAATATATAAGCATACCACTGAAATCATATCAGGATATTCTTGTAATAAATCACTGAGCACAAGCTCCAACACCTAGAAGTCGATAAAATAAAATCAAAAGATCAACAGAATATTGCGATTATAATAGAAATTGAAAAAGAAAAGCCGCAGTTGAAAATTTGGGCATACAGCGATTTTTCCCGAACCACGGGGACCGAGAAGCAGAATGGAGTTGTTACATGCTTCGGTGATGGAACTTGAAACTAAGAATTTCAACTTGCTGCAACAATAATAAAAATAAAAATAAAAGCCCTTAATCTTAATTCTTCTATTTAAAAATAATAATAATAATAAAATAATAAAATAATAAAAACTAGAAGAAAGAGAGGGATCGGAGACCTGTAGTTTGAGTCGTCGGAGTGAGAGAGAGCTTTGAAGGCGAAATTAGGGTCACAGAGTCTGCTTCGGAGCAGACCTAGGGCTTTCTCTGCAGGATTTTCTCGCGCCATTTCTCAAAGCAAACTCAGAGTGAGAAGAAATGAGATGGGAGAAAGGGCGGGAAAGAAAAGCGTTGCCGACATATGTAGTACCAAAGGCCGAAGGCTCAAACAAAAGGCCGGAGGCCCAAGTGAACCATAGGCCCATTATATAGCCCATTCTACTTCGTACACTACGTCATCGGTTCATAATAGAAAACTAGTTAAGATCCTGCTACAATGCGCCATGGGCTGCAAATCCAAAAATATCGTCCGCCGAGCTGAAGAAAGAAGCACCAGTCATTCATATTCATTCGTTGTTGAGATGTTGATATAAAACGAAAGCTAATACAAACAAGACATAGAAGAAGAAGAAGAAGCGAACTTGGATTGGAGTGGTATTCTAGGAGAGATGGGAAGCACGAGCTGTGCTTCCATTTCCAACTTGAACTTCATTCGGAGTCGCAGCCACAATTGCTTCCAGCGGCTTGGGCCAATCAGAAACCAACTGGATTCTGTTCGAGTCCACCATTCGAGGAGGCCAAGACTGGAGCTCAATGGTTTGCGGAGCCGGAAGAGCTTACGAAACGACGTAGTCTGCTTCGCTGTTGATGACGATTTGAGAGAGAAGCAGCAAGAGTTTGGCTCTGGGTCTGGGATTGGCTCCGCCGTCGAGGATAGGCCTGCTACTGGTAACAACCAAAATTTCTTAAATTTTCACTAAAAATTATGGTTTAGTTGCTTTATATTCAACAAATTATATAAAGAAATCAGAAAAACATGGTCACTAACTTGCTACTTTGAGAACCCAATATATATGAAAAATGGTAAAAACTTAACATGGATTTTCTTTACTATTTAATAATAGTGATTTTTTATAGTTGTTTTTTTTTTTTTTTTTTTTTTTTTCTACTCTCAGAATTTGAGTATATTTAGTAGCAAAACATGCCTTACGTCAGGCTCAGGAGCTTTGTAATACCAGTTAATTAGCATAATTGGTTGTTTCATGATTCAAGAAGTAATTGGAAATTGAGTGGAAGAAAGTGCTTTTGTAACTACTACAGTGAAGTTTGAGTGGTGATATTGTCGAATAAATATGAAGTCAATCATAAGGGAACAAAAAAAGTTAAGTACAGCGAAGAAATTTTCTCATAGCTTGTTATAGTATAATTTGGCCCATTTTCTAAAACAATTTGTTTGTACAGGAAGTAGATGTTAATGTCTTTAGTTTGAAGTTGACATCACCTTTGTCTGTACAATATAGATGTGGTTGATGGCTCAAAAGAAGAGAATGGAAGTGCTATTTACAATTTTCTATATCCTAGTCAAGAGCTCCTCCCGGACGATAAAGAGATGAGTATATTTGATCATCTGGAAGAGCTGCGTCAGAGAATTTTTATATCAGTTCTAGCAGTTGGAGTTTCTATGTTGGGATGCTTTGCATATTCAAAGGAACTTATAATATTTCTCGAAGCTCCTGTTAAAGACCAAGGTGTAAATTCCTGCAGCTAGCTCCTGGCGAGTTTTTCTTTACTACCATAAAGGTTAGATTGAGTGAATATCTCTCCTGTTCATGATATATGTAACATGATTGCCGCATGTAAGGTTTTGTTTTTGGAAAGTTAGCCACTGTTGGTTGGGTGCAAATTTGTCTGGCTAGCTAGCGCTGAAGTGCAATGGAGTGTTGTAGGAACTTTATGATTTATACTTCCCATCATAATCTCATTGGGAAATGAGAATAACGTTATCTGTTTTGCTCCTCTTTTGTTTCCCCTGTTTTCATTTTATTATTTCGGGAGTAAATCAATTAGCAAAACAATTCTTTTGATTGTCCACTGCAGGTATCAGGATATTGCGGCCTTCTCTTGGGGAGCCCCATCATTCTGTATGAGCTTATAGCCTTTGTTCTTCCAGGATTAACGAGAGAAGAGCGAAAATTTCTGGGGCCAATTGTTTTGGGCTCATCAGTACTTTTCTACGCTGGTATCAGCTTCTCCTATTTTGTTTTGACACCAGCAGCCTTGAATTTTTTTGTTACATATGCGGAAGGTGTTGTGGAATCGTTGTGGTCAATTGATCAATACTTTGAGTTTGTACTTGTGCTCATGTTCAGCACAGGCTTGTCTTTCCAGGTAATGAGTCTATGACCCTCTCCTCTTAAGTTCATTCTGTCTTTAGGGATGGCATTACTTCATTCTAATCAGCACTTATATTTGTGAGCAATTTATCATTCAGCCAGAAACATGCCTCTCTCAGAAAACTGTGCATAGGTCGACGTGGATATCTCAGAAAACTTTGTTAACAAATGACCTTTCATCTTGTTCTACAGGTTCCGGTTATACAATTTCTCCTGGGACAAGTTGGTCTAGTATCAGGAGATCAAATGCTGTCAGTTTGGAGGTATGTTGTGGTTGGTGCTGTTGTGGCAGCTGCTGTGGTTACACCATCAACAGATCCACTCACTCAGGTTCTTCTAGCAGCACCCCTCCTTGGTCTGTACTTTGGGGGTGCCTGGGTTGTTAAGCTTACTGGCCGATGAACCCAGCTTCCTCGATGCATGAAATTTGTTCGCAGTATGGCGCATACTCAAGTTTGCAAGGATCTTGTACATTTGCAACATGATGTAACATAAATGTGTTGTCGTATGGAACGAGGGTGAATAACCCCATATTACTGTACAAGAGGTTTATACTGCAAGCGTATAACAGAAACAACCTTTATTCAGTTCACAAGTAGGTTGATTTAAATTTTAAAATTCTATAAAATAAAATAATATTATACTGACAAGAAATCATTCCGACTTACAGCTCTGCAAAATGAATTTCACTCTCACTCTACTAATTGTTCAAATCAATTTTCTGCACTCTGGTTTCTAAATCGACAGTACCGGGACAGCCTACTGCAGATTCAAGCTGTCCCAAAGAACTCTTTAAACAATTGCACGCCTGACAAAATGCTTCCAAATTTCCTTTAAGATTCTGTAATTCAGCTTGCATATCATCGACAAAGCTGGAGATTTTCCCTAATGCTGCCTTCATGGTGGGAACCTCTTGCGGGGGATAAAGAGAAGCTCCAAGCTCGTCTATTTGTATTCCGATTCCTTGACACATTCTCAACAATTTCTCCAAGGAATCCACAAGATTACTGCTGTCATTTGGATTTTCACATTTAAGCAAACTTGTGATCGTGCGAATTAGTTCCTTTATCACTACAAGAGTCTCAGACACAACTGCAATTGCCAACTGAGCAACTCTCATCTCTTCAGGTGACAAATCATTGCCCAGATCACCGTCACTTGAAATTTCATCATCCTGGGGTTCAATCTCTGCTTCAATAGAAGACTCATTAGAGGCTTCATCTGTCAGGTCAGAGGAACCTGGTTTAAGCTCCTTCATCTCACGAAGAACATCTTTCATGGAAACTGCAACCTGCGTCATTGCTCGTCCAATTGCTGTGACATTGGTGGCAGGTGTCTTTTTAAGAGCAGAACACGCTTCCCATACTGCACCAGCCAACTGTGGCATTGAGAGTTTCCCATCTTTATTCCGTGCACCTGCAGGTGTATATTCAAAGTGAAGATAAAACGAGAAGACAAGGCTTCTATATTTGTTAAATATTTTAGTGAAGACAACTACACTACCAACTACTATAACATCTGGTCAGGTAGAGCTTAAGACCCTAAAAGTTACCAGTTTCGGTCTCATTCACAAAACCAAACTCTAGGACCTCAGGTTCATGTACATGAGTGCAGGTGAAAAAGAAAATAGAGATATGAAGGGATCAAGAAAAAGAAATGCTGCAGAAATATGTCTGGTGGTGAATACAATTCTGTCTTCAACCAGCGAGAGAGAGAGAGAGAGAGAGAGAGAGAGAGAGAGAGAGAGAGAGAGATTACCATACAACGAGACAGATTCCTTCAACAACTTAAAACTGGAGTCAACAACTTGCTTTACAGATGCATGGACACAAGAATACAAGGTAGGCCCTGCACCCACTATACTCCCATGAGAAAGCAGAAGAAAACCTTGTAGAATATTGAAGTATGAAGCCATGTTTTCTTCAAGGGCTCTAACTTCTGGTGTTTCTCCGCTCCAAAGCATTCCAGCTGCATTATGAAGTCGCAGTTAGTCACTTGAGCATGAGGCACTATGCCACACGGGAGAAGGAACTATGCAACTAAATCGCAAATTGAAGCATAGATAGACAAAAACCATAAAAATCAGATCTCCAACAAGGCACTAGATAGTTGCATTGCTCCACTTTTATCATTTTCTTTTATTAATATGGAAAAATTGTTAAGTTGAAGACACGTAATTCCAAAGTCCAGAAATTTGCCACTGATTGTGTTTATCACTACAACCAGATAAGTCAAAAAGCTCAAATCAAAATTCCTTCAATAATTTTCCTAGATTTAGCCATTTCAAGCTCAAGATTCCAAATTAACATACTAAGATAATACGTAATGGCCACAGAAAATTAATATCAGTACAAAATCAAAATTGAAGATTGATAGGGTAAGATGGCAAAAAAAGATAAAGAAATACCAATGGTAGCTTGTTTGGAGACTTGGTCACCCATCTGCATGACCTTCTCCCAGCTCACCTTCTCAAGTGTAGAAGGTGGAGTTTGATCTAACAACTGTTTTCATTGATTCAAACAAACAAAACCCACATCATCATCATCACCATCACCAAAATCTAAAAGCAAAAGACTATATTTTCAAACAAAAAACAAAAAATAATTCCAGGGACTTGTAAAGAGAGAGAGCTTAAACCCGAAAGGTCTCGTGGATGGTGTTCAGGTGCTGGTTCAGAGTTCGATTCAATTGCTCTCTCTCGGCTCTTCCCATCTCTCTATGTTCGAAGGAATGAATTGCAGAGCTGAACGGCGAGTTCTCACTTCTCAGAGGTTTTTGAGGGCTTTTTGGGTTTGAGGTTTTGTAAAGGGGAAAATCTTTGTCACTCGCCGCCGCCAAGTGCCATCGATTTTTTATTTCTTTTTTGTTTTGCTAACTTATCAACAACAACAAAAAACCGGAACCCGAATAACGGCCCGCGGCCCGTTTCCGTTCACTAATGCAGATGACGTCACCATTTATCTGGGGCTAAATGACCTCTGGCCCGTTACTGGTAAATGGGCCGCTTGATACACCATGTTTTTCTCTCTCTTCTTTTTCTTTTTTGAACAAGACGAAAATCTAAATTATTCTAAGCCTCCGTTTGGATGAAGGAATTGAAAATTACATAGAATTCTAAAATGATAGAATTTCAATTTTCATCATTTCAATTTTTGGCAATTTAAAATTTCAGTGTTTAGATTTATGTATGTCGAATTTTGTAAATGACGCCTATTTTGATGGGAATTAAACTCGGAAATTTGATGCCCAAATTTCCATAATTTTTTCCACATGTTATTTAATAAATTCCGTGCTTAAGTTTCAAAACAAGGGAATTGTCAATTTCTCCTTTTAAATTTCCGAGTTATTTTCCCTCATCCAAATGGACCCATAGGGAATGAATTGGAATTCGAATCAGGAATTGAATTCCAATTATGGAGGATTTCTATGTTTACTTCATATCAATGAATTAAAAAGTAAGTGAGGCCCACACAAAATTAGGAATTGAATTCCTGATTTTGGAGAAATTCAATTCTTAGGTATAAGGTGGTATTCTAATTCCTGGAAAACTAACTCATTAGGAATTCATCTCTTTTACTTATTATATCCTCACACAATTTTTAGAACTCCAAATTTGTCATCTACTTTAACCTAACAACAAGGACACTTAGTAATTAATATCACTCTTACCTCAATTCCTTATGGTTTAGTAAACAACTTCAATAAGAATCTGGAATCTAATTCTCCTCAATCCAACTCCTCAATTCAATTCCTCATAATCCGATTACGGTTTACGGTTTAGTAAACATGCCAACCTTATCCATCAATAATGAGATTGAATTTAGGGGTAAAGAAGCAAATACACTACCCTAGTCAACTAGCGTAATCCATATTTACATATCATAATCAATTTTTAACATGTAAGATATCAACATGTGATTGACACTTTACAGTAGCAAATGGAAGTAGTTTGCCAGATAGGTAATTTTGTGATTCAAACTCAGAGGATTTGTAAGGTATCAAAAGTCATTGACATGCCAATGCAAGTTATCCCTTGAGAGGTTTTTACCCTGCAAAAATTGGTCATTTGATTGATGTTGAAATTTATTCCAAAGTCCTTGAGAGGTTTTTACTCGTCGAGAAATCCCATGTTTGAAGCATTCTTCATAGTGTCATCAAATCATCAAAAGTAAAAGTTCCAGAGTTGGTAAATGTCTATAGAGGTGCCAAGAAATATATTTCATGCTTCAATCATACCTACGTGTAAACTGGTAACATTTTGCATGCTTCTCTGATTTTGATAGGCACAAACCCTAGAGGTATAATAAGCCTATAAAAATCACCTAAAGCATCATTTCAAATTATCCATCTGTATGATTGCATTGCACCAGAGAACCTTGCTTCAAAAAGAATGGAACGGCTGCTATCTTACTGTAGATTTTTCCACAAATATCCTCTCCCTTGTCTTTCTTGCCTGCAACATCAAGACACCCAAGAGAAAGAGAAGTCTCATTAGAAAAAGTATGACATAAATTGCTGCCTAATCTCAAAGAGGTTTCACAGTTCATGCTGTTAAAGGAATGACTCTTTCTAAAGATAGCATTTCTGGTTAGCCGCTAAAGAAATGATTGACTAACAGGCTTGTGAATTCTGAACTGAAATATTCGATATCAATACTGTCTTTTTAAGTTCCTTTCTCTTTTAGCTTCTCCACAACTGAGCAACACAGATTCAAATTTTCATCTTGAAAGATTAAAAGATGGAGAGTTTACCTTTTCTTCCCAATTTGTACAACTTGTTATCACAGAGTAAAGAAATGCTTGCAGAAAAGAACCGACTTGTATCCCAATCCAAAGCCCCCTTCCTCTCAAGTCTAACCAGAAACACAATGTGGCAGCAACCGGAATCCCAACTAGATAATATGCTCCGAGGTTGACATACACTCCCAAGTCCTGCCATCCACATCCCCTAGCAATACCTGTTTTGAATTATATATAAAACAAAAGGCTTTGAGTTTCACAGAATTACTGCATTGAAGATGCATTAACAGAAATGTGGAAGGAATCGAATCATAACCAGAAAGAACCCCGTGTAAGTTGTCGGATATAACTGATAGACAAATCAGAGGAGCCATGGAAGTGACATAATCCACAACTTCCTTGTCCTTGCTGAAAATGTAACCAAAAACAGATCGGCTGGCGAAAACGATTGAGCTTATAATAACTACCCCTGAGACTGTAAGAAACATAACAGCACCAACAGCTAATCGAGCTGCTTGGGGATTTCCAGCACCTAATGCATTTGAAACCCTAGTGCTAAAACCCAATAAGAAAACAAATCATTAGTACACAAACCTAAGAAGATTCGTCATATAAGAAATCAGTTTTATGTTATATTCATATGTGCCTTGATACAAACCTTCCTGCTGCACCAAGTCCTTCTGGTATTGTATACAGTGATGAGATGGTTGACAAGCTGTTCAGAAAAGTAAAACATTTTATTGATTTGAAGAATATAACTCGCTAGTTGTCATGGAGGTCACTTAAAATTGCAGCATACCATATAGATAAAACTGAAGTTTCAAGCTCCGGATTTGGTAGAAAACCAGCCAGCAAGATAAGGAGCTCAAATGACCACCATTCAAGGCTATAAGCATCACATCAGATGGGAAATCACATTATTAGTACTACTACTAGAAAAGAAAACTAGAAGATTTTAAAAGCTAGCAAGAAGAAGGTTACCAAATCATTACGGCAGAAGGAATTGCAAAACGCAAGAATTCTCTAATTCCTTGAAACAGCTCCAAAGAAATTGGAACCCGGGTACGTGCACAGGCAGTGGAGTACGTCACATATAGTATGAGTAGAATCACATTTAACCAATACGACATACCAATGGCTAATGCTGCTCCAAGGTGTCCTAGTCCAGACTTGAATACCATAGCCCAACAAAAAGGTATGTGGAAGCACAGAGAAGCACAACCGCATACGAGCAAGGGAATTATCAAGCTTTGTGTCTGAAGATATTTACAAAGTGGCTGAAGAGTTGCATAAGCAAAGAGTGCAGGTAAGAGCATCCTTGCAAACTTACCAGCTTCAAGTGAAATTAGAGGGTCTTGGCCCATGAAAATTAGTATTTCTCCCATGTAGATCCACACGAGAGACACAGGGAGACAAACTAGGAGTAGAGAAAAAATAGCAGTGTTGATTTGAAGTCCTAGTTGTCTATATTGCTGAGCTCCATAAGCTTGCCCTGACAGAGTTTCCAGTGCACAAGCCATTCCAAACTGTTGACATGTACAAATTAGAAAACCCATTAAGTTCTTAAGGACTGGTACCCAATTTGATCCTTTTCTGCTTGAAGGCAAAACTCCAAATGATGAAATTTATCCTTTTCAATAGTTACAACATTTGGTTCACTCCTCTTAATCCTACATTGCCTGTTCTCTCTTATGGTAAGAACAACAAGTAACAACTAACACAAACAAAAAGGAAAATGAAAAAAGCCAACATTAACACGAGGGGTTGGGATTTTAAACCAGATTTATCTATATATTATTTATCATAAACCTCGGTTGCCCAAAATTTATTACAAAAATAAAACAAACAGATACAGAAACACGGAAAGCACTTACAAGAAGACTGAAGCCGGAGACAGCACAGAAAGAGATGGCAATCGCAGTGCTGGAAAGAGAGAGCTGACCCAGATGACCCACCATCATGATCGAAATGATTTGCAAAAAGTACTGAGACAAATTCACAGCCACCATAGGCCCTGCTATGTATCCCAACCTCTTCACTTCTGCAACAAACAAACCGCATCTTTCAACACCTCCTCTGTCCTCTCCCTCTTCTATTAACAAACTCTTGTCCATTCTCTTTCTATCTATCTACTATCTACCATCTCAGACTGTTATCAACCTCTTCTCACTCATATATATTCATCTCCTTTGTGACAATGGTATGTGCGGATTAAGAAAGAGACGTAAAAATTTTGGCCTTTCCTATGATTGCATATTTTGTTTTTGTTATTATTGGTGATTATTATTACAGTATTGAATTTCCTTTATAGATTTGGAAGTTTTCAAGAGGCACGTGGAAATTTTGGCAACATGGTCAGAACCCAACGCCCTCTTCGGCCATGACCTCTCTCTAGGACGTTGAACTTGTACATACATAGTATGCAACAGATTCTACGTTATTTGTGGTATTTTAGTAAATACGCTTGCAAAAGGTTGATCATCTTGCTCTGTTTTGCACAGGGACAGGGCAGGGACCTGTGAGAGAGAGAGATCCTGATGGAGAACAAATTTGTTTTGAGAATGATTTGTTAATTCCATCAGGATCTCATTCTTCTCACGGCATATTGGCATTTATCAGAGAATGATTTGTTAATTCCATCATTCCATCAGAATCTCATTCTTCTCACGGCATGCCTATCAGAGAATGATTTGTTAATTCCATCAGAATCTCATTCTTCTCACGGCATTGGCATGTATCAGTTCATAGGTATGATGTATGACGTTTGGGTTTGTGCCTGTTTGACCCTAAATAAATCCACGTCCACCCAACGGAGCAAGAGCTCATGGTGGGCTCGTAAGTGGTGCAAGGTGGGTGAAGTCCAAAAGCTGGGTTGATAAGCCCAAGTGTGATGCTCAAGGGTGGAGTCCAAAGTGAAACTCAAAGGTGGGCTAGTGTAGTGGCAAGGATGAGGCCTCATGGTCTCATAGGGTTTTTTATTTTTATTTTTTGATATGAATGGTCTCATAGGGTTAAACATGTAAACATACATGTTGTCAAATTATGATATTATTATAATATATATTAGCCTCTATGTACGCGCTTCCTCGTTTGCGAGAGGTTTTTTTTAAATAAAAAAAATTATTTTAGAATTGAAAAAGATAATGGGTAGTTGTGCTTGTGTTCCACAAAAATAAGAGTCATTATCTGATTTTTCTTATAATTTTAATTTTTTGAATATGAAAAAGTGTGAATTTACCATATTATCCTCATTTAATTAATAATTTCAATTCTTAATGTTAACATTAATCAATGACATTTTCTGGTATTTTGAATGTTTTACCATTCTCTGCTTTTTGCTTTATATATATGGATGCATGTGATCATGAGTGATTACTAACAGCCAAAAATGGCTAAACTATTAGCAACAAAGCTACTTTGTTTGGTCAGCTATGTTTTAGCTTTTGTCAAATAATCAAAGTTGATAAATGATTATTTACATTTATATATATAATGGCTTGGACATTAATAAAGGCCAAGAAATAGCCTACATATATGTGGGAACACATATTTCGGCAACTAATAGATGGGCGACACATGAAAAAGGAATATTTCTTAAGTTAACTGATTACCCTAATTAAATTATATTTAATTAGAGAAATTATTATTGATTTAAGATGAGAATATCTCCCCAAATCAAGGATGAGATTTCCATCAAATGGCCTACATATATATATGTGTGTGTGTGTGTGTGTGAAAATGCTATGATGCTTGGTTATTATAAAGGATATAGTAATTTCTTGACCAGAGCATCGGGTTCTCATGTCACCCCAACATTGATGGGATTCTCAACCAAGTCAAAAACTCCAAGTGCACGATGTCTCACCAAAGATCGGATCATACACTCAAAGTCTAAACCCAATCCAAGAAGCTAAGTTCAGAAGTTCCAGCATAAGTCTCCTTGCAATTGGTGGAATTCAAAGATGGGAAGACTCGTAGCTAACTTACTAGGACTTATTGCATCATAGGTCAAGAGAAGAGTTTCACAATCCCAATTCCATTTTATTGACCAACCATATGGGTTGGTGGTAGTTGGAAAGTTCTCATTAAATGCCTAGAGCCCTGGAAGACATTAATCTTGGAAGGATTTTCAATGAAAGTTAGTTGAGGCCATTTAATGGTCAAATCCATGAGCTGAAGAAAGCTCTATAAATGGCTCCTTAAAAGAAGCGGAAAGGAGCTCTGATTCAACACACAAAACATATCTTTTTATCCTGCACCTTTCAATTCTTAGTCTATGATTTTATCTTTCAAGCACTTTAGATTATCCAAGTTCTTTATTTTCTTAGTGTAAGCTTACTTTCTTAGAGTTTAATCTTTAAATTCAAGTTTAATTCAATCATTTATTGCTTTAATATATTTTATCACATTTCGTTTCTTGTATTTACATTCATTGCACTTATCACCAAAATCCTAAAATTAGTCAAACAAAACTTAGTCATCTTTGATCCCGAGGAAGTGAAAGAACCTAGACCAAGAGGAGGTTATTTGTTTGGCCGATCAATTGTTTGATTAGAAGTTAGAAGTGCAAACACACTCACACACTCTTTCCATCCAAGCCATCAAGTAGGTTGGTGGTGGCACGCCTACACATCTCAACAGAAGAATGACCAAAAATCCTTCTTTTGGCCTACTTGACCAAAAAGAGGGAAACAAAATCAAATTATTCCCCTTTTAAGAACAAGAGTACAAAATGAGATTATTGATTTAATCCCCACCAGAGAGAATGTGTAATTCCAGCTGAGCAGAGTTTTTCGCACGAAATGTTTAGGCGCTAAAAGCAGTGGATCAAACTACTACTGGTAAGGAAATATTAAGCTCGTCAGCCTCTGCTTTAATGACACAATCCTTCCCCTCAAATATCCTCTCCCTTGCCTTGCTTGCCTTGAACAACAAAAACCCAACATAAACAGCCTTTTAACAAGGTAGAATGAGGCCATGTTTAAGTAAAAAGGATTAGAATGGTAATCATAAGGGAGATCAGGAAAATCAAGAGATTAAGAGTTAGAAAGTAGACCTGCTTTTCCCAATTTGTACTAGTTGTTACAAAAGAGAGCAAAATGGTTTGCACCGAAGAGCCAACTTGTATTCCAATCCAGAGTCCCATTCCTCTAAAATGCACCCAGAAAGCCAATATTGCTGCAACTGGAATTCCACAAAGATAGACTGCTTCAAGGTTTATGCACGCCCCTATATGCTGCCACCCAATTCCTCTAGCAACACCTGACTTTACCGTTGACAAAAGTATATAACACAAGGTTGAGAACTTTATTTCTAAGCAAGATGCTTACCTGCATAAAAGATTGAGCATTTAACTTACCTGTAAGGACCCCTTGAAAGCTGTCTAGTACATGAGGTAGGCAAACTAGAGGAGCCATGGTTACAACATAATCGATGATGTCTTTCTCATTGCTAAAAATGTATACAAATTTATAAATAAACTCAATCCTAGACATGTATTTATAAAAAAACTCAAACACTATTTAAACATAGAAACACACCCAAAATCAACCCCAAAATCAACAATTGTATATTTTTTGGGTGTGTTTATAAATGGGTTTTGAGTGTGTGTAATGATGGGTTTTGGGTGTGTTTATAAAGTGTTTTGGGTGTTGGGTTTTTTTATAATTTCAACCTCCATTTTGGGTGTTTTAGTGAAACTCCCAAAAATGTAATGCCGGCAGGCATAGAGGGTTGTGGTCTCTGTACTTGTCTCTGTGACTGCTAGAAACATCGAAGCGCGAGTAGCTAAATGAGCACCTTCTGGGTTACCAGCTCCTAGTTCATTTGCAACTCTAGTACTATACAATTCCCAAGAATAAAGAAAGAAGATCAAGTTACTACTTATTATTTATGCAAATTTAACTGCTTTGACATTATTAGTATTATAGTATACAAATATGAAATCTGATGGTATATGTGTTTGAACAAACCTTGCTGCAGCACCAAACCCGTATGGTATTGCGTAGAGTGTCGAAATGGTTTGGAGACTGTCCACCAACAGTAACTAGTATTACAAAGAGACCAATTCCAAATTAAGAAACTGGTTTTAACATTTGTACTAGTTTTTAGAAGATCTTCCTCGGTATCTGAAGGTGAACAAAAACAGAGAACTTACCATACAGACAGAACTGAAGTTTCAAGAGCTGGATTTGGTAAAAGCCCAGACAGCAAGATAAACAGCTCAAATGACCACCACTCAAGGCTACAATCATCAACAAGAATCAATAAGAAAGGACATTGGAGATGGAATATTTTATGAAAGCATAAAGAAGACTTTTCTAAAATAGCTACCATAGAATTCGTGCAGAAGGGATTGCAAAGTGAAAGAACTCTCCCATTCCATGAAATAGCTCCTTAGAAATTGGAGCTCGGGTTTTTGAACAGGCAGAAGAAAACTTCATGTATAATCCAAGTAAAATCACATTCAGCCAATAGGAAATACTGATTGCTAACGGCCCTCCAAGGTGATCCAGCCCAGACTTTAGAACCCAACAGATTGGAATATGGAACAAAAGGGTCGTGACAGAGCTTATGAGCATAGGTATTATCAAACTTTGTGCCTGAAAGTATCTAATGAGTGGTTGAAGGGTGGCGAAGGTGAACAGAGCTGGAAGAAGCCAGATTGTGAATTTGCCAGCTTCACGAGAAATTACAGGATCTTGACCAATGAGAATCAGTAACTCCTCCATATATATCCATACCAAAGATAAAGGAAGACAAACTAAGGTGAGAGAAAATATCGCAGTGTAGGTATGAAGTCCAAGTTTCTGATATCGCTCAGCTCCATATGCTTGCCCACATAAAGTTTCCAGTGTACTAGCCATTCCTAGCTGTCAGCACGTTACAAAATGTACTTAAGTTTCTAACTTTCTATGAACAAACAAACAGTTGGACATCAAAAAAACCAATCCCAAATACAGATAATATAAGAAGAAAGAATGAATGTAAAGAAAAGATGAGGATGCGGATGAAGACTTACAAAAAGACTAAAGCCGGTGACCTCGGAGAGGGAGAGGGCTAGGGAGGAGCTAGAGAGAGCAAGCTCACCCAGGTGACCAACCATCATCATTGAACTGACCCGCAACAAGTTCTGAGATAGAATCACAGCAATCGTGGGTCCTGCTATGTAACACAACCTCTTCACTTCTTGGAAGAAAGAACCCCATGTTAGAACCTTCACGTCCACTTCGGCTATTAAACACACTTCCCAAATGTTCATGCAATCTATTGCTCTGTTTTAGAGGGTACAAGAAAGATAGGAGAGCAATCTCTTATAGAAAATGATTGCTTAACTGGACTCATTCTAATGGTGCTGAATGATCAAGATTAGCATAACCAATTATATGCATACCAGTTCATATGTATTGATATTTGGGTTTGCGTTCCTTTAAGAACAAGACTAGAAAGTGAGATTATCGATTTAATCCCCAGCGCCGTCTTGTGTAAACAATGAAAATAAACCAAATGTCTGGCTTGCATTGGATATGTGAATTTTATTTAAAGGATAAATTGTAGAATTAATCCAACTGAACATATTTTTTAGCTAAAAAAGAAAGGATACAACTGATACTGTTGTGGCACAATCCATTATCCACCAGATGCCGTCCCCTCAAATTTCCTCTTCCTTGCTTTACTTGCCTGAACTGTAGAAAACCCAGCATAGAGGCAAGTTACAACCTTGATGAAATGTGGTGTCTATGATTGACTGCAAGTTACAGCCTTGAATTTCACAGTCCAGCCGAATGTTCCAATGACGGAATCATATTATACCCTTTGTCTTTTTTAGGGTACCGCTTAGTTGATAAGAAGATATAAGGAAGTACCAAACCAAAGGGGAAGTTTGAAGAAAATTATCACATCTTGGGATAGTCTTAGTAAACGTACACACCAGCTTCTTGGCAACCAGAGGAGATTGGAAATTAAGGTACAGAACATCAAAATTATATAGAGAGATTTAAAGTTAGAAAATACCTCATTTTCCCAATTTGTTATAGCTGTTGCTGATTATTACAGAATTGCCAAGGGAAATAAACCAAATGTGATTTTGGCTTGCATTGCTTATGTGAATTATATCATTTATTAAGGATAAATTGCAGAAAAATCTATCTCAACAGAGTTTCTGTTTACTTTCCACATTTTATCATGATAAAATTTGCTGATTGAGAACTTTCTGCACTTCCAAGGAGATGACTCTTTCTTGCCAGATATTTCAGTAGCCTAGACTTGCCACCTACATTCTACTTTACATATTGTGCAGCGACTGCAAGCTATCTGGGCACTGTGTTGCAGTCAGGGACGTCTTGTCTCTCTCTCTTGCACATGGTCATGACTAAATGGCTTAAGCTAATACTCTCATTACTTTAAGTAAGTTTCTTGTTAATACCACGATAGAAAGAACTATGCTAATCAAAACTCATTACTTTCTGCCTTGTCGCACAATCCATTAACTTCTGAAGGCCTTCCCTCAAATATCCTTTCCCTTGCCTTAATTGCCTGAAACATCAAAAGCCCATGATCAACTTAACAAGGCAAAATGAGGCCATGTTTAATGAAATGATGTGTCTTTTGGATAGGTTCTCTGTTTAATTGCCAAGAAGAAACAAGGAAATACCAATGCAGTGGGGGAGTTTGAAGAAAGAGAACTCATTTTGGGATATAGTTCATGTAAATGGATTAGAATAGCAATCATAAGATACAAAATATTCTTCATCTTCACTCCCAACTTCTTGGCAACCAAACAGAGAATTTTGGAAATGAAGGTGGAGAAAATCAACGTTATCAAGAGACTAGAGGTTGAGGAACAGACCTGCTTTTCCCAATTTGTACAACTTGTTACAAAAGATAGCAGTATGGTTTGCACAAAAGAACCAACTTGTATTCCAATCCAAAGGCCCCTTCCTCTTAACTGTACCCAGAAAGCCAATGTGGCAGCAACTGGAATTCCACAAAGATAAAATGCTCCAAGGTTTATGTAAGCCCCTATATGCTGCCACCCAGTTCCTCTAGCAATACCTGATTAAAAATTTACAGAAAATACAACACTAGATTTAAACATGAAATAAATTGTTTCTTAGGTAGATAGTTAATTGCTTATTGCTATAGAGCAACCAACCTGAAAGGACCCCTTGCAAGCTGTCTAGTATAACAGACAGGCAAACTAGAGGAGCCATGGTTGTGACGTAATCGATGACTTCTTTCTCATTGCTAAAGGTGTAACCAAATACATTCCGGCAGGCAAAGAGAGTTGTGGTTATTATACTCGTCTCAGTAACTGCAAGAAACATCCCAGCACAAGTAGCTATACGGGCACCTTGTGGATTACCAGCTCCTAGTTCATTTGACACTCTAGTACTGTATAACACCCAACAAAAATAGAAGAAGATACTTTATTACTTGTTAGATATCTATTTATGCAAATTTAACTGCATTGACATTAGTAGTTGATGTAGTACAGCCCGTAGGTATTAGATTAAGCACTTAAACAATCGAACAGAAGAATATAAGAGATCGAGGAGAAGAAATATAAATCGAAAAGACGAGATAAAGGGCAGAAACAGTAGAACAAAGAAGAATATCGGAGATCGAGGAGAAGAAAATCAGAGAGTTCTAGGAAAAGGTTTAATCAACATTCAAATCTGAATTTTAAAGAACTACATGAGGTTATTTGTAGCAAACTAAAACCTAGAAATAATAGGATAAAAATCTCTTGCTTAAACAGAAATCCTAACCCAAATAAAATTGGAAACTTAAAACTAGAAATATGGAAATCTGGAAAAGTAGAAATCCTACTAGTAATTGGAAAACTAGAGAATCTAGGAAACAAACAAATACATTAGGAAACTAATAAATTTAGGTCCTACACGTCCTGCATCAGTAGTATACAAATATGCAATCTGATGCTATATAAGTGTTTGAACATACCTTGCTGCAGCACCAAACCCATATGGTATTGCATATAGTGTTGAAATCGTCTGAAGACTGTCCACAACAATCAATTAGAATGATCAGATTTTTTATGGAATTCGTGTATCTCTTGCTAGTATTACATGGTGATCAAATTGACAAATTGATTTTATCATTCCTACATAATTGTTAAAATATCTGCTCTGTTTCTGAACTGGAACACAAACAGAATATTTACCATACAGACAGAACTGAAGTTTCAAGAGCCGGATTTGGTAAAAGGCCAGACAGTAAGATGAGCAGCTCAAATGACCACCACTCAAGGCTACAACCATCAACAAGAATAAGTAAGCAAGGAAGGACGTTTGAACTCTAAGATAAAATATTGTAAGAAACTAAAACTAAGCAGATTGAAATCTCTGCTTGAAATAATACAGGGAGATAAACTGGTTACCATATCATTATTGCAGAAGGGACAGCAAAGCGAAAGAACTCTCCAATTCCTTGGAATATCTCCTTAGAAATTGGAGCTCGGGTTTTTGAACAAGCAGAGGAAAACTTCATGTATAACCCCAGCAAAATCACATTTAACCAATAGGAAATACTGATTGCTAATGCTCCTCCAAGGTTATCCAATCCAGACTTGAATACTAGAATCCAACAGAGAGGAATGTGGAACAATAGGGTGGCGAAAGAGCTTATAAGCATGGGAATTATCAAGCTTTGTGTCTGAAAGTACCTAATGAGTGGTTGAAGAGTGGCATAAGCAAACAGAGCAGGAAGAAGCCAGGTTGTGAATTTGCCAGCTTCATGAGAAATTACAGGGTCTTGACCTATGAAAATCAGTATCTTCTCCATACATATCCATATCAAAGATAAAGGTAGGCAAACTAAGTTGAGAGAAAATATAGCAGTGTAAGTTTGAAGTCCAAGTTTCTGATATTGCTTTGCTCCATATGCTTGCCCACATAAAGTTTCCAGGGCACTAGCCATTCCTAACTGTTCAAATAGCAACGTTAGACAATGTACTTAGTTATTGGAGATAGATTATATATAGCCAGTACAAAATCTATTTCGCAAACCCCATAGTCTGTTCACAATCATGCTCTATTTTCTTTTAGCAGTATCCATGCATGGCTACTGGCTTCAATCTTGCTTTAATACACTAAAACTCGTCATTCTTTCGCTATTAATACTACATCTACATTGAAAAGAGTCTTGACTTGCAGACAGGCGTCTAAGTTTCGAACCCCATAGCAACATGATTGCCCACATAAAGTTTCTAGGGCACTAGCCATTCCTAAGTGTTCAAATAGCAACGTTAGACAATGTACTTAGTTGTTGGAGAGATTATATATTAGCCAGTACAAAATCTATTTCGTAAACCCCATAGTCTGTTCACAATCGTGCTCTATTTTCTTTTAGCAGTATCCATGCATGGCTACTGGCTTCAATCTTGCTTTAATACAATAAAACTCGTCATTCTTTCGCTATTAATACTACAGCTACATTGAAAAGAGTCTTGACTTGCAGACAGGGGGTCAAAGTTTCAAATCCCATAGCAACATGATTGTGTGTGTGAGAAAACCTCCCCAATATAGCTGGTACCAAATAAAAAAAAACTACATGTACGCTGAAATTCGTACGTAATTATTCTTAAGTTTTTTTTCTGCAGTACAAAATCCATAGAGGTTTTTTTTTCGTACAGGAAGCATATTAGCTGACAAATTTTGTATGAAAAGACAAAATAATCTGAATGTGCATTGTTGTCTGCAGTGAATATGGAAACATGCTCTGCAGGCCGAGGGTCCAGTGAAACTCACATTACTTTTATAATCCGTGATTGGGAGCCATTATAGTGGCAAAGTCCTAATGAACCTCTTATAATATGATTTAATCAAATAAAACCTTTGGGCAAACAAACAATACTGAAAAGAACTTAAAACGACACACGGGTCAGGGGGCAAAAAGCTGTGTCCCCAGACGCCTCCAGTCCAGTGGAATTGAGTCATTCATTTTAGCACGTCTTTAATATTATAGTTCAGTAAAATCGCTTCCCTATAGAATCCAAGATGCAGTCTTGGGTGTCGTATGTATTGGAAAAGACCAGAGGAAGTGATTAAATAAAAATGATAAAAAAAAGGACCCAGATGCAACCGGCTGAAGATTAGAACAAATTCAGGTGCAACCATTTTTAGTCACGAGAGCTCAAGAAAGGGAAGTACTTTTATGCCGTCTAATTAGCATTTCTACAAACAGAGACCAAACAAGAACAGCTGTGGTGAACTGGACCTTAAAAACCATAATTCCATATATATATATATATATATGTATATATATATGTATATATATATACATATATATATGTATAATTAAATGCAGAAAAAGAAAATCAAGAAGATGGAAAACTTACAAAAAGGCTAAAGCCGGTGACCCCAGAAAGGGAGATGGCTATGGCGGTGCTAGAGAGAGCAAGCTCGCCCAGGTGACCAACCATCATCATTGAAATGACCTGCAACAAGTACTGAGATAGAATCACAGCAACCATAGGCCCTGCTATGCCACCCAGCCTCTTCACTTCTTCAAAGAAAGAACCCCATGTCATTAGAGTAGAAGCACTTGAATCGCTACTGCTTTTATTCCTTTCTTGTTCATCTTCTCTATATTTTGGCAATAACAAGCTCTCTTCCATGTTTGAGTCAGTCATGGAAATCAATCGTCGCCGCCTCCTCACTAGCTGAACAGCCTATTGACTTGGAGCTTTGGAAAATATATGAAGAGAGAAAGCAAAAGTAATGACATTTCACGAGCGTTATATACGCAGAGGTCAAAAAATTTGCATTTTTTATGGCTCTGGCTGTGTAGAGTAATGATATACAGGCAATATGTAAAAATCTTATCTTTTTTCTTTTTCTTTTTCAATTCAAAAATCGGTTTCATTTTTTTTATAAGGAAGATTTTATTTTCTATTGGTGAAAAAGGACTTTGGGCATAGTCAAGTCCACCATATAACTTGGGCTTTAAAGGGAATTTTGGACTAATCGCCATATAAAATTATTAAATATGATGGATTGGTTAACAAGCAAAAATTGACACATTTGGACGTTCTAGCATATATTATTATATTCTATTATATTTTATTATTTGACCTGTCTCTTCTCTGTGTTTTTTTTTTTTTTTTTTTTTTTTGTTTGATGGGATGGATGTCCTGCGGTTACCAATAAACAATCATTCAGTTTCAAGTGGCAAAGATGCTATTTTTTCTCAGAATGGCAGAAGTGAGCTCAAGTGTTGAGACTCCTCTAATTCCAAACCAAGAAAGAAGCCATGAATTAGAGGGTGCAACCATATCCCAACAAGGATTTAGAAGAGGGGATTTGGTTGATGAAGCAAAATTGCAACTGTGGCTAGCCGGGCCTCTTATTGCAGTTAGCTTGTTGCAGTACAGTTTACAAGTCACATCAGTCATGTATGTTGGTCATCTTGGAGAGTTGGCACTTTCCAGTGCTTCCATGGCCTCTTCCTTTGCTTCAGTCACAGGATTCAGTGTCTTGGTAACTGGGTTTCTCTTCAACATCACTTGTTTGAACTTTGTCCTGTTTTTTTGTCGTCTTTGTTGGTCACTTGGTTAAGTGATCAGCCTAAGTAAACTTCCTTGTATTTTCTTATATTGATGAGTTTCCTTTCTCTTAAAAATATGAAACATGTCTCACAGTTGGGAATGGGAAGTGCATTAGAGACACTATGTGGACAAGCCTATGGAGCCAAACAGTACAACATGCTTGGAGTTCACATGCAAAGAGCAATGCTAACATTATTAGTAGTAAGCATTCCCCTAGCGCTCATTTGGTTTTACACAAGCACCATTCTCATGGCCCTAGGCCAAGACCACGAGATATCGACTGAAGCAGGAACTTTCAACCAGTGGATGATTCCAAGCCTCTTTGCCTTTAGCCTCCTTCAATGCCTCAATAGATTTTTACAGACACAGAACAATGTGTTTCCAATGATGATAAGCTCTGGCATCACAGCTTTTCTTCACATTATGGTTTGTTGGGCACTTTGTTTTAAATTTGGACTAGGAAACAAAGGCGCAGCGTTGGCGATTAGCATTTCGAATTGGTTTAATGCATTGTTATTGGCAAGTTATGTAAAGTTCTCGTCGGCCTGCAAGAACACTTGGACAGGATTTTCAGAAGAGGCATTGCATGACATTTTCAGCTTTATCAAACTTGCCATTCCATCAGCTATAATGATATGGCAATTTTTCTTCTTCTTTCCATAACTTTAACTATCCTTAGTTACTATATATGTTTCTTTTTCTCCTTAATTACTAACTTACATACACTTCTGAATTGCAGCTTCGAATATTGGTCCTTCGAAATGGTTGTTCTCTTATCTGGTCTTCTACCAAACCCAAAACTAGAAACATCTGTGTTATCAATAAGGTATCATTATCAAACTTAACAGAAGAATAATAGAGAAAAAGACTTGAGTTTACATTTTGGTAATAGTATTTTATCAATTTATATATATTGGTGGCAAATATGTTGAACTCCTTATATGTTCCTTGTTAGTATGAAAGTTCAAATTATTTCTGATATTTTATTCTGCTCGCAGCCTTAACACATGTTGGATGGTCTATATGATATCAGTTGGTCTTGGCAGTGCAATAAGGTCAGTAATGTCATATGTTAACAATCTCCTTGAAGATAATGCTGCTTTTCTTTTCTCCTAAAAACAATCCTTATCGTAATAGCACAAGAGTGTCAAATGAATTGGGTGCCGGACGACCACAAGGTGCCCAATTAGCCCTAAGAGTCATGACCATAATGGCTTTATCAGAGGGTGCTGCCATAGCAACAGCTACAGTTTTGGTACGCTATGTTTGGGGAAAGCTCTACAGCAACGAGAATGAAGTGATCATATATGTTGCTAAAATGATGCCACTGCTTGCAATATCTGACTTCTTGGATGGATTTCAATGTGTGCTTTCAGGTCCTAACATATTACTGAATCCAATGGCTTCATGATAGTTGAAACTTGCACATTTTAAGTACTTTATTATCTTTTCCAAGTTCTGAGTTCTAGCTGCTAAAAAGAATATAATTGACTATCTAGGAGCTGCCAGAGGCTGTGGATGGCAAAATCTTTGTGTACTCATAAACCTTGGCGCTTACTATGTTGTGGGAATTCCTACTGCTGTGCTGTTTGCTTTCATCCTCCATATTGGAGGTATGGTGAGTCTCTCTCTCTCTCTCTCTCTCTCTCTCTCTCCTCTCTCTCTCTCTCTCTCTCTCTCTGCCATTGAAGTTTAGATTTGTGTGAATAGGGGCTTTGGATGGGAATCATTTGTGGACTTCTTGTTCAAGTTACAGCCCTTGTTGCGGTAAATGTGTGTACTGATTGGGATGAGGAGGCAAGTTTGATAAAACATTTGCCTGGCTAAAGGCAGTCTTTATTCTCCCTTGCTAAAACAGTTTGTCTATGTTTAATACAAGCCTTTTATCTAATTTCTTTTCATTTCACATTTCAGGCAACGAAAGCTGCAAATAGAGTTCAAAATAGAGTCTTAGTCATTGACAAGGCAACATAGGTTTGTTTATGAAACAGGTCAAAACAACTTCTTTTTTTCTTTGCTTTTCTGTTTATGATAGAAAGGTATTATCATGACAAACCAGTTAAAATAGAAATAACTTACATTTGAATGAGAGCAAAGTTTTTCATATGTGAGAGAGAATGAAAATATTGGTGTTTTGATAACTTGACATCTAGATGAACAAGATTGATTTGCAATATAGAAATCTTTAGTGCCATTTTATTTCATGAATCTGGGTGCTTTGATAGTTGTTTGTAAGCATTTACTTAGCTCAGTCCGCTTGTGCTTGTCTTTCTTCAGTAAGATCAGTAAATCACGGTTCAATGGGAAAACAGTTCTGCATAGAGTCAAACTCTGCCATTGGCCTACAATTGATGAGCTCCAACCAAAGTGACTTCTACCCGGATTCCCTTATTCAGGGTTGCAAGGATTTTCTCAAAGGATCGTGAAGTTATCATCAATCACGTCTACCACCAGAGTATAGTTTGTGTGGGTTAGGTGGCTAGTGTTAGAGAGCAAAACATATCACTGCACACGTTTCCAGGACTGCCAATATTTGCATTCCATTTTCTATTCCATTTCCAGAGCCCTCATTCCAAGCCACCCAATACATGATTATATCATTTCCATAAGACAGATGTGCACTAGGATTATGAATAATGAAGTTCCAGAGTTTCAAATATGAGACAATGTATACAAACATTGTTAACCCCATGTACCACATCTTATCATCCCAAAAATAAAAGGATGACACAAAACATTCCAATCAACACTCTTGTGACTATGTTACAAACTTTTCAAAAATGGGGGTGTTTGAAATTTAATATAGTTATGTCAACTGAAATGATCACCATGCCAAAATTTAAAGTAGATATATGACGATTTGTTGTTATACAGCTACTTCAAATTTTACTACTGCACACGGACAGATGATACAGGTGATAAGGGTCGTTCTTCTCCCTTAATGTTTGCTTCAGTTGCATGATCAGGCGAAGGAGGGGGCTGCTTTGTTTCAGTTCCATGATCAGGTGAATGAGGGGCCTGCTCCTCATGTTCATTGTTCTCGGGATGAAAATTAATAGGGAACTTTGTGACTCTAGGCTTGTCAGCCAAAATGTTTCTCTGAACCCTATCAACCAACACCTTAGAGGGAGGTTCCTCCCTTAGCTGTTCATCATCATAATCATTGTTCACATAGTACCCCACTCTAACAAACTCCTGCCCCAGATAAGAACACGTCAATAGCAGTACAGTGACACCAATGATATCTTCCTCGCGTATTTTTGACGGATCTGGAGGGTCTGCCTGCCAGGAGACCAAAACATACACACACACACACAAACAGGAACGGATTTAGCTTCACATCCATATAATATTGGAGCCAAAAAAACAAACTTTAACTCGGAACAAGGAATCAGTATAATTACCTGAAAGACAAAACGGTAGTTTCCAACATTGACAGGACCAACAAGCACACTCTCCAATAGTTGGTCATAAGTCTCATCTTCAGCAGATCCCACATATATGAGCTTCCATTCCAAGTCTGTAATAAATTGAATAGTATAACATGTCAAGCAAAGAGATCACAGTTTCATTTACTCCAATTTCACTGGAAGTTTCCTACCATCCTATGCACACATGCTGGCTCCGTTATTTAAGATAAGACGGATATAATTCATAAACCAGCAAACTGTGGCAGTTGGCCATTAACTTGAAAAAACAGAATCACCTCACAATAAAGTTCTCAGCCAGTGGGGTTACAACAAATAACATACAATTTATCCTCTTTCAATCGTCACTTTAGAACCACACATTCCTACCAATATAGGATGCAACACCATGCTCTATAGGTATAAAATTTGCCTAAAAACTAGTTAAGCCATCAAGAAAACTATCCTAAAGATTAGAAATGGGGGTTTTCCTCTATTTTATTATGCTTTGAAGCCACCCCATCAAGAAATCAATAGGAACCACGAGGGTCTTCCATTTAGGTAGCATCTTGTTCACCTTATGTAACGTCCTAACTTTTAACTCCTCAATAAATCAGGTCCAAGTTTTCATTTTTTTTCTACAATGTAAGTTATCAAGGACTTATATGTGAAAAGCCCTAATTTTAAATCCTATTTTTGTTAAATAAAAAAGCCAAAGTTAGAAATCCCGATATAAATTAAATTGAACTGTTGGAGCAACTTATTTTAAGAACCCTAGCTTAACCTCAAGCAAAACAAAATCCATCTGATTCAGACTAAACAAAATTAAATTGAAGAAGCATGGGTTTGATAAGATTACCGTCTTTGAGGGGAGTCAAGCACTCGTATGAGATTTCGAACTGAAAAGGGCTGAGGAAAGCGGCCGGGTTGTCCAGAACGGCGACGTTTGTAAGGTTGACGGCGCTCATATTCCCAGATCGAAATAAGACTCTAGTGCTTCCTCGAATAGACCAATCCTAGCCCTGGATTGGATATCCTTCCTCCACGAACAAGAAAACCCTAGAACGGATTTTGGGCGTGACCGGTGACCCAGAACGTAAAGCTGGAGGTGAAAGCAGGAGAATATAAGTAAGAAGAAATGGGTGGAAATTGCAATTCCCATTTTCGAGTAAATATGTATAGCTGGTGTGGAGGGAAAATACGCAGTTTGGCGGGAGTTTTAAACTTTTGTTGATATTTCGTCCATGGAAATTCAGATGTGGCCCCGTTGTTCGGCCCGCAGTCTTTCAACCCGTTAGGCCATCTTCAGCTATGGGCTATCCCAAATATAGACCTAAAATAATACAAAATCTATCTCCAGTTATGGGCTAAATAAAATTTTAGCCAAATTTGGAGGGCCACATTTGGCCCTTTAGCCCTCTAACCGGGTCAAATGTAGCCCAACTTTGGCCTATGCCAAATTCATAGTGGGCCCCACCATATGTTTTTCAACCACCAAACATTAAAGCACTCCTCACTTCCCTTTCTCAAAATAATAAAACATGAAGGACCCTAAAATATAGTAGAGATATTTAGTAATATACCCATTCTTAGTACTAAAACTATAAATAAACCCTACATCATTTCATTTTTATAAACATACCCAAAAAAAACCCAAAAAATGACAAATGGTACTATTAAATTTAATTTTAATTATTAAATTACTTTGATACCCTATTGAGTGTTTTGGGCTTTTTTATAAAATTTTGAGTTGGGTTTGTTTTAAGAAATCAATGGCAATTTTGTAATTTAAAAGAAGTTAAAAGCCTTTTTGTTATGTTATAAATGGGTTTTGGGTGTGTTTATAAATTCCATTTCATATAGGGTTTTTTTATAATTTGGACTCCTATATTGGGTATATTAGTGAATCTCTCAATATAGTATTGCATGGCTGGAAATAGAAAATTTTAGTCATGCACTATTCTTTAAAAAATTAATATTTTGGGGGGCTAAATTTGTAGCCCTTGACTACATTTAGCCTTATGGTTGGAGATGGCCTTAATTTATACCCGACCAATATCTGATGATGAAGCCCAATCCTACCAATGGGCTCGCACCTAATTATTCGGCCTACAGTCGATACGTGAACCGCCTAACAAGTCACAACCTCAAAATGGTATGTTGACTGGTAGCTCACTACTCATCAAGACATTTTCAGGGTTAATGATGTTTAGCTTCAATTTAACTATCAAACCAACTAGGTTTATACTTTTAACTCAATATGTCTTGATGATTGTCCATGCAACCCAAAACACCTAGCAATTCTACTTACATCAAAGGATCGCCAAACTATACTTATGGTGATATATCACGAATTCGATGCTAGTCAAATCTAGGACGTGTTGAGCTTTGAATGTAACACAAAGCCAACAAACTAGAAAGCAACTAGCCGCCAAACTATACTTTAATTTAAGGGACAACAATTAAAAATCAACTCTATAAACTCGCATACAAATTGTAGCTCAATGAATTTCGACTAATTGTGAAATATTAGGGTCTATTAGGATACAATGACTTCAAATTTAAGGATTAAGCTTATTATAAGGCTAAATTGTGTTTTTTGACAGTTTTGAGACAACTGAAACCCATGTATGCTAAGATATGATTACAAATGAAATGAATAAAACAAAAGGATTTCAAATGATTGAATGCATACAATTATTTCAAATGTGTTTCAAGTGTACTATATCTAGTTATTTCAGTCACATTTAATCTAATATCTTAAGACGGAGCCAATGAAGGCCCACAAGGGTTAGCTGACCCTTTTGAAGTTCCATAAATAACCCTACATTCATTACTAATTACCCTTTGTATATAATGTATTAGTAAAATATGACCCTTCTAAATTTTTCTTTTTTTTAATGACTTAAATAATTACTAGTCTAAAAGCTAAAGCAGGCAACCTTTTGCACCGCTTAAATTAAACCTATTCTATTTCAAGTTTTTGTTTGCATCAATCATTTAATTTTTTTTCCTCTCCAACTCTAAAGTTAATTATCTACATGAATTTAACTCTATTTCACTGAATTGTGACGATCAACCTAGTAAGTCTTTAACCCTAACAATGTAATTTTTTATATAGTTTATTATATTTTTTGGGCTGTTAGTTAGTGATTTCTTTACTATCTCAAATCAAGAACAATAATATTTACATGATTTCTTTATCATCTGATTTATGAAATTTACTTTGAAAATAGTTATGGAGAAATATTTTAAAAGAAAAGTGACAAATCAATTGTCACCTCCTCTAAGAATAGATGCATCAAATCATGGTACTACAAAACGTCAATATGAGGAAATCAATCTAGCTGATCTTCCTTCAAATTGTAGCCAACTTAGGCCATCTCCAATCATAGGGCTAAATGTAGTTCATGGTTAAAAATTTAGCCCCCCAAAATATTAATTTTTTAAAGAATAGTAAAGGCTAAATTTTTCCATCTTCAGCCATGCATGGCTATATTTTTGGGTCATTCATATTTTATTATTTTGACAAAAACTATGGTACAACACTCATACATTCAACAACTATATATTGTTTAATTTAATTAAACTACTATTTAGAGATAATATTTGCAGGTTCAAGAAATAATAAAATTAAACGATGGCAAAGCTGACGACATTTATGATTTTTTTTTTAATTAAAAAAAAAAAGAGTGTGTAGGTCAAGAAATAATAAATATAATCGACCAAAAAATCTGCAGGTTCGTAGGAAATAATTTATGACTTAGTTGGTTGCATGCAACGATCATTGCCAAGAAGAAACATTCAAAAAGATGCAGGTTCGTTGTAATACATGGCAGACTAGTGCTCCATTTATTATTTAAAACTCTATATATATCCAGCTTTTAAAAGGCAAGTGGGAAGTAATTTAATATTTGGTGGTTGAAAAGCATATGGTGGGGTCCACAATGAATTTGGCATAGGCCAAAGCTTGGCTACATTTGGCCCGGTTGGAAGGCTAAAGGGCCAAATTTGGCCAAAACTTTATATAGCCCACGGCTGGAGATGAGTTTTGCATTAATTTAGGGCTATATTTGGGATATAACCCATGGCTGGAGATTACCTTAAATCCTCAACATAGTGAGGTGTGGGGTCAAAGGCCTAACTCCACGACTATTGATATAATGCTGGTGAGGACTGAGGGGCGTCAAAGGGATATCCATATGCCATTGGATATTGCCGAGGCTAAGAAGCAGAATGGGGAGGGTGAGAAGCCAAAGGAAAATGACACTAGCTAATATACGCAGAGAGATAAAACAAGAACCCCAGTAGTACCGCGCAGGTAAGCTGTATTCTTTTTATGAACCTTAATTTCGACTCCATGTATTCTTTTTACATGGATTTGACAAAAAAAAAGAAAAAAAAGGAAGAAGTTCATAACAAGTTGTAAGAGCATAGCATTTGCATGACTTTTGACTAAACTTTTTTTCTCAATGACCAAATTGAAAGTTCATATAAAACTCAGTGACAAAAAAGGTATTTAACCCACCAACTTAACAAAAACTAACAACAAATCTATAAATTGTAAATTTTGGGTAATATAATGACCAATTTAGCAAAAAAAAATTTATAAGTAACCAAATTGAAAATTCGTGAAAAACATAGTGACAAAAAACTGTATTTAACAATGGAAAAAAAAAAGTATATGACTACACTACCTTGCACACAATTTGTTATTATCTCATGTTTTACATGGCTATCATTTCATTCATTATCTAAATCTTTTGCTTTTGCTTTTATTTTGTTTACAAGTCAAATATTTACATTGTTTATTCAATTCAAATGATTTATCTATTTGATTATTTTAATAAATAAGAGATTTTTTTTGTCAATAATAAAAGGGATCTGATTTCCCCACTCCTTTTTTATCCACTTACACTCCCTTTTGCTTTTTAATACTTTTTTACTTAATTTTGTTCTTTATCTTTCATATTCTACCCTTACCCTACATTGATTTCTTTTTACTTCACTTTTATATTAGTTCTTTTTCTTTACACTTAATTTTCCAACTTGCACTATATTTTCAGTTTTTTTTTCCTTTAATCGAGTAAGAAATTAAGTATTTTTTTTCCCTTTAATACGGAAAATAGAATGTAAGTTGGAAAATCAAGTGTAAAGAAAAAGAAATAATATAAAGTGAAGTAAAAAATAAATTAATGTAGGGTAAGGGTATAATAGGAAAAAGAAAGAACAAAATTGATTAAAAAGTATTAAAAAGCAAAAAGGAGTGTAAGTGGAGAAAGCGGGAGTGGGGAAATCACATCCCTAATAAAAAAATGTGATTTCTCTTACATCTTATGGGGATGTATTCAATTTAGATTTTAAATTATTTTAAAAGAGTTATAAAGTTGATGGAGTTTAATTGAGTTTGACTAAATTCCACAAACTCCACATAGATTTTGACTGAATGTGTGTATATATTTAATCGAGTTTGTTAGAGTTTTATTGGTTTTTATGGAATTTATAGCCCTAAAAAAACAAAGGGTTTAGGGGTGATGACGGTGGTGGTGGTGACGATGGTGGTTTATGGGTGATGGTAGGGGTGGTAGTGGTGGGGGCAATGGGAGTGAGGTGGTAGTGGAGGTGGTGGTGGTGATGGTGATGATGTTGGCGGTTGTGTGTGGTGGTGGTGATGGTGTAGGTAATGGTGGGGCTGATAATGGGGGATGGTAGTGGTGGTGGCGGCGGTAGTGGTGACGATGGGGTTGGTAGTAGGGGGTAGTGAGGGTGGTGGGGCGGTGACGGTGTTGGCGGGGGCGGTGATGATGGTGGCGACAACTATGATGATAGCCATGTGTTGGTCTTTCGCAAATCTCGCGGCCTGGTGCTTCGGGCCGAGGGGATGTGCGTCAACACGTGACGTCCTCCTTTTGGATGCGGTGCGGTTGTGCGCGGGCGTGCCAGCACGGTCTACCGTGCGTCAAGATGATGATGAGGTTCGGGTAGAAGATGGTTTAAATGTTGCGCCTGTTTTGCGTTCGACTCATAATCAAACGATCGTGGCCGAGTGAGGAACGAATCTCGGCCGTCAGGTTCACGGCCTGAGCTACAAGGCCGTTTAGTGGTGGTGTTGGTGGTGGGTTTTAGGCGGTGCTCCGGCACGTTGCTCACAGAGTGACGGTCGTATGATATATGGAGTGAGTGAGGCGATAACAGAGATGGTGCTCCGGCGCCTTGAAAATCAAAGGTCGTATGATATATTTATGAATGGATTTTTCTTACAGTCTACCACTACTCCTAAGAAAGCAAATAAAGGTATTGAAAGTGCATTACAGGAAAATATAATTTGCTCCGTGAGAGGCTTTTGGTTTTGGTGTTTGAACTCTTTGAATGTAGTCATGAGCTTAGTATTTATAGGAGTCCTGGAGGGACATTCGAGGCTGACAAGACCTGCGTGGTGGAGCCTGACCGGGGCAAGTGGGTAGTCAAATCGGCATTTGGGATAGTGAAGCATGGTGGTCTGGGGTTGAGAAGCATGGTGGTGTGACCCTCATAAATCTCGGCAAATCTCGGCCACCGCCCTGATCGTGGGTTCTGCCCCCTTGGCTGTGGGAACGCATTTAATGCCCTGGTCTGGTGGTTGGTGACCTGACCCTAAGTCGTAAGATTACTTGTGAGAATGTCTGCGTCTGACCACCCTGATTCCCATCACCAAATCCTGACTTCAGTCACTTCCCTCGTGCATTGAATGTTTCTTGTGACTAGTGGGTTTTGCTGCGAAGTCAGAGGCATTACTTTATTAAATGGAGCGTGGGGCCCTGAGGCCACGTGGCGATTCAACCACAGCTTTTCAGACCGTGTATTTTACGGCCTTCGGCCTCGGCCTTTAAACTGCGGTCGCGAGGCCGAGGGGATTCTACTTTTGCAGCTTTTCTTCTGCTCTTAGGAAGGCGAAATGCCTGACGAAACGGTAGGAGTCAGGGCTGAAAGGAAGTTCCTTCAATCAGTTCATGACCGTGATTTATTAGATACAAACACCATGATAAGATGATGGTAGTAGAAGTGGTGAAATCATATATTGAGAATACAAAATCTTTTTTTTGGTGTGGGGGGGGGAGGGGGGGAGGGGAGCACGAATTTGTCATGGCCTAAAGAGTAATGTTATTCTTACCATATTTTTATACTAAATTCTTATATCACATCGTGTAACAGCTTATGTGGACAACCACATTAATTAATTAATAAAAAGGGGAATAAAACCACAAATAATTTTAATTGATATGGATGTTTACCTCAATTGCTACATAAGGTGGTATGAGAATGTGATAAAAGTAGCATTATTATGGCCTAAAATAGTCTAGAATCAAACGAAATCCATCAATTTTTGTATTTCCTTTAAAAAATTAATGAGATTTTGAATACACTCAAACTTTTATAAAGTCTTTTAAAGTCGTGATTGAATACATCTAAATTTGAATGAAGTTTAAAAAGTATGAATTGAATACATCAAAAATGGTATAGATTTTTATAAAATCGTGATTAAATATACTTTTAAACTTCGTTAAAATCTCAATTGAATACACCCCGTTAGTTTGGTAACAATATATTCTTTTTATTTTCGCATTTGAATCAACAATACAATCAAACTTGAATCAACAATGGTGTCTAAAGACATTTTGACTTTCTTGTAGTTTGTTACCTAGTTTAGTGGAAGTGTGGAATGAGCACACGAGGGGAGGGGGTCATGCGATTAAGCTGCAAATAGTAAAATGTGTAATTATTAGACCAAACGCAAAACGACCTGAACATGATAGCGCCGATGTGGGGGAAGTAGCGTTTTACTGGCATACACCATACATTTGACGACATCAAATCAAATTAAAGAGCGTTATCAGGAAATAAAATAAAATCAAAGAGAATAAAGTGAAACATAGGGAGTGTTTGGCAACGACCTTATAACCTCCACCACCCATCCTCACGGAGATGCCGAAAAGGTCAAAATGAAAAATGAAATCATATGAAAATAGAAAAAATGAAAAAAAGGGAAAAAATGAAAATAAAATATTCCCATTTTGGGGCTCAGTGGCTGTACATATAGCATTTGCACCTGGCTTCACAAACCCTAGTCTCTTCTTTACTCTCATTGTCTACCTGAAGCCCTAGCAAAATGGCTTCGCGAAGGCTCTTATCTTCTCTCGCCCGGTCCTCGGTACGCCGAGCACCTTCTAAATCTCCGATCTCAAGCCCTAACCCTAGAATCGCATCCCCATCGCCATCGTCTCGATGCGCTTCTCCTTACGGCTACATCCTCAACCGCGTGGCCCAGTACGCCACCGCCGCGGCTGCCGAGACAACGACGGCGTCATCATCCCCTAAAAGTAAGGACGCCGGGAAGGGAAAAATTACCGACGAATTCACCGGAAAGGGCTCGATCGGGCAGGTGTGCCAGGTGATCGGAGCCGTTGTCGATGTGAGGTTCGAGGAGGGCTTGCCCCCGATCTTGACTGCACTTGAAGTGCTGGACAACTCGATCCGATTGGTGCTTGAGGTGGCTCAGCACTTGGGCGAGAACATGGTCAGGACCATTGCTATGGATGGTACTGAAGGGCTTGTCAGAGGACAGCGCGTGCTCAACACTGGTTCTCCTATCACTGTAAGCTATATATACGATTGTTTCCTGGTCCGCGCTTACTGATTTTACCTCCTAGGCCATGGTTGTCACTAGATTTGATGAGAAATGTTAGGGTTTCGTTATGTTCGATGGTAAACTGTTGACTTTGATGCTTATATGGATGGGAATGTGTTGGGTTTTGATTGATTTATGAATTGGTGCTCGGGTTTTCAGATCTGGATGTTATTATTGTTTTTCTCTCCGGTACATTTTCTCTTAGTAGAACCGTTGCTGAGTGATTTACATTTCTGGCTTCTGCTGTTCAAAGCTTTAATATTTTAGGTCCTTTTTAGGGTTCAAGTAATACATTGACCGTTAGCTATTAAATTTAAATATGTCTTCATTAGCTAGATTTTCTTCAGATTTTATATGGTCAAATTGTGATCTTTTCTTTGGCATTTCCATTTTTCGTCTATAATCTTGATCATTCAGCACTCTTTTTTGTTGTAGTTGATATATTTATTTTTTTGAATTTAGTTTCAGTTTTCAAATTTGTTTTTCCTTGAATTCTGACTTATATTTTGGTATTTATTTGCCTTTTTAGGTGCCTGTTGGTAGGGCTACCCTTGGTCGAATCATGAATGTCATCGGGGAGCCCATTGATGAGAGAGGCGATATGAGTAAGAAGTTTAGAAACCTTTAAAAACAAATCACTTGGTTAAGTAGTTGTGTGAATATTTTACTGCAACATGTCAAATACATGCCACGCAAGTTTCTGACAATTTCTTTGTGAATACTCCAACAGAAACCGATCACTTTCTGCCCATCCATAGAGAAGCTCCTGCCTTTGTTGAGCAAGCAACTGAACAGCAGATCCTTGTTACCGGAATCAAGGTATATTGGTTTTAACCTCTACTATCTTTACTTGTAATAGCATTTGATCGTCTAATTGTTGTATTCCCTTCCTTTAAAGTAGATGTTATGTGCTCTAGATTCAGTTTACTAAATTACGGGCTTCATATACAGGTTGTAGACCTTCTTGCTCCCTACCAAAGAGGAGGAAAGATTGGGTTGTTTGGTGGTGCCGGTGTAGGAAAAACTGTGCTTATTATGGAACTTATCAACAATGTTGCAAAGGCTCATGGTCAGTTTTTTTTCGAAATATATACATGTTAGTACACTGGTTTGTCAATGTTATTGTTTGTTTACATCTCTTTTCATTGATCAGGTGGTTTCTCCGTGTTTGCCGGTGTTGGAGAACGTACTCGTGAGGGTAATGACTTGTACAGGGAAATGATTGAGAGTGGTGTCATTAAGCTAGGTGAAAAGCAGGTAAAGACACTGCATTTCACTTGCCACCCTCTCTCTATGCATTCATCACTGTGTCTGTTTTCTGGAAAGTTATTGCTTACTTGCTATTCTTCCTTTTCTTTTTCATCAGGCTGACAGCAAATGTGCTCTAGTGTACGGTCAAATGAATGAGCCCCCTGGTGCTCGTGCTCGTGTTGGTTTGACCGGGCTGACTGTGGCAGAACACTTCCGTGATGCTGAAGGGCAAGATGTGCTTCTCTTTATTGACAACATTTTCCGCTTTACCCAAGTAAGCGTGGTTGCTGAGGAACTATTGAAGATTGTTTGTCCTCAGACATTGAATATTGTTAGTGACGCTATGTTTCTTTCTGGCCCATCCTGCAGGCGAACTCTGAGGTGTCTGCTTTGCTTGGTCGTATCCCATCTGCTGTTGGATACCAACCTACTTTAGCTACTGATCTTGGAGGTCTTCAAGAGCGTATTACTACCACCAAGAAGGGTTCCATCACTTCTGTCCAAGCTATTTATGTGCCTGCTGATGACTTGACAGATCCAGCTCCTGCCACCACCTTTGCTCACTTGGATGCCACCACTGTGCTATCACGACAGGTCTGACATCTACATGGATTAATTGCAGTTTATCTTGCCATGCTATATTTTCAGTAACCTTGTTGACATTTTGAATTGAACAGATCTCTGAGCTTGGTATCTATCCTGCTGTCGATCCCCTTGATTCCACATCTCGTATGCTCTCCCCTCATATTTTGGGTGAGGAACACTACAACACTGCTCGTGGTGTCCAGAAGGTTCTTCAAGATTACAAGAATTTGCAAGATATTATTGCTATTTTGGGGATGGATGAGCTTAGTGAAGACGATAAGTTGACGGTCGCCCGTGCCCGTAAAATTCAACGTTTCTTGAGCCAGCCATTCCATGTTGCAGAGGTTTTCACTGGTGCCCCTGGAAAATACGTGGAGTTGAAAGAAAGCATTACCAGCTTCCAGGTATCCCTTCCTCCTCCCTCCCTCTCTGTTCTGTCTGCATATTTCCTCATTTCTGATATTGAAGTTTTGTTTATTATTTTCCCAATTACCGGTGGAATTTCCCTCTTGGAGAAACTATTAATTATGTATGTTTTGAAATGATGGAGTCATTAAAGTATTAATAGGAGAATGAAGGTTTGCCAAATTCAGGATGATAGAGGATGGGGTTTTTTTATGCCCATCAAAGTCTGCTCTAATCTTTGTTATCTTTTGATAATCATTTTTATTCAGGATGAGGACAACTTTTGTTTTTGGTTGACCTTTCGGTATCTGTTAATCATTTAATTCTATACTTGATGCTATCTCAGTTTATTTCTCTCTTTCTCCACAAGAATAAAGGCCATGAGTTAACAATGTTACTTACCACCGAGTCACCCTCTTAAGTTACACCCATCTATTTTCTGCATGCATGCATAGTACCAATGTTTAAATTTGGGGGTTTTTGACTTGATGATATAAGGACTAGTGAGCGTGATTCATGCTATGTTTTTGTTATTTTATTTTGACAGGGAGTGTTGGATGGAAAGTACGATGACCTTTCAGAACAATCGTTCTACATGGTTGGAGGTATCGAGGAGGTCATTGCTAAGGCAGAGAAGATTGCCAAGGAGTCTGCTGCCTAATCTTCTTCCCCCATCTCACCTGTTCCTTTTATCTTGATAATTGCGAAAAACCCAAATAATTTAGATGCAGCTGGCATTGCTAGCGGACAGGATTTTCATTTTTGAGAAACAAAGTGTATGAGCATTTTCCATTTCAGATTTAAGCATATTGCAGAGTGTGAGAGAAATGGAGCCAATGGGCCTAACCCCTTTTTTCTTGTTGTTCAATAAGGGGAAAAAGAAAGAGGACGTGTAAATTTTTTTTTTCCTTTTCTATTTTGAAAAATTGGATGCGATTGATGTTAAGTTAAACCCTTGTTCATGTGAATTACTTGAGAGTTGCAGGCTATGCCTAGCTGTTATCCAATTTGCTTCTTGTGTACTTCATATTCATAATCCTTTGTTTTGTTTTACTACGTGGAGTTGTCGAGTGGCTGGTTAGGTTAGCTGCGATATGCAAATAATTTCGACTTCAATTATGTCATTCATTGCAGACCTAGCCTTGTTCAATTTCTTGGTTGTGTGGACTCAAACCCAGCTAAACGGTCTTTTAACTTGAATGTCTTCATCCACACACCCAACAATTGATGGCATCGTTCGTTTGATGGTTTGGTGGTCTAGATCATGCATGGATCCGATCCTCTGCTCATGACTCTTGCCCATTTTAATTGAAATCAAGTGGTCTAGTCCAGGGTCTACGTCCCAACCAATTGCTTTATCAGTTATCCTCCATAAGCCCAGGATCTCCCAAAACCAGTGCCACGTGGACACGCGACTATCCAAGTCTAACTTCAACCCGATCCAACCACGGGTTCTTCACTTGACCTTTGAGATTCTCGACTGTTCGTTGTGTCATCGCCTGCTTTGGCGCCGGCCTTTTCCCACCGTAGCCCCCCGACACAAACATAAAATCCTCCCAACCCAAACCCAACAGCCATGTCATTTACAATCTTCCAACCCGCTTCGGTGCCCCTCCTCAACTCCCATGCGCACCTTAGCTCACCCCTCCCTCCCATGTCTATCTTACGCCGCCTCAACCCCAACCACCTAAAACTAAAACTACGCCGCCACCGCTTCGCCAGTGTCGCCGCCGCAGTACGCCAGGACACCGCGCTCTGGACCCAAGCCCCACTCTCCGAGATTGAACCAGCCGCCGAGTCGCTCTTCCACGTCTGCATCGACCTGTCCGACGCGCCCGACCTCGCTTCGTCCCACACGCGCGCTGGCCAGTATCTCCAGCTTCGCGTCCCAGACGAGTCCAAGCCCTCGTTTCTGGCCATCGCGTCGCCGCCTTCGTTGGCGGCGACAAAGGGCGTGTTCGAGTTCTTGGTGAAGAGCGTGGCGGGGTCCACAGCGGAGCTTCTGTGCAGGCTCAAGAGAGGGGACGTCGTGGAGCTAAGCCAGGCTATGGGGAAAGGCTTCGAGATTGATCGGATCGACCCGCCCGAGAAATACCCAACGGTTCTAATATTCGCCACGGGATCTGGAATAAGGTCAGCAGAAAAAAACATTATTTGATTTTAGAGCATTAGGGTGGATTTATTTGCCTATTTACAAGCGATTTGACATGCCACAGCCCTTGAATATGTGCAGTCCAATCCGTTCTCTGATTGAATCGGGGTTTAGCGCCGATACAAGATCTGACGTCAAGCTCTTCTATGGGGCTAGAAACCTCGACAGAATGGCTTATCAGGTTTCTAAACATGAAATTCTATTTATTTGTTTTCATATGCTCAATTTCAATTTATGACTTTTGCGTGATTGTGGTTCTTGTTCCTCCCAAATCTTATAGGATAGATTTAAGGACTGGGAATCTTCAGGTGTTGAGATTGTGCCAGTATTATCACAGCCGCATGATGGTTGGACGGGACAAAGTGGTTATGTGCAGGTAGACCCGTGCTCATGCGCTTCAGTGGGTTGTAAGCTTATTTTGAGTCGTCTCACTTTGAACTGCCCAAATAATGCTTTCTATGGTTACATTTTCAGGCTGCTTTTTCCAGAGCCAAGCAAATTTTTAACCCTCTTTCTACAGCTGCTGTTTTATGTGGGCAGAAGCAGATGACTGAGGTACCTTAATGTTCTTTTTCGCATTTGTAAATTTTATGGTTTGCGTCTCCGTGTTTGTTTGAATCTTTCTGAGCATCCTCTGGGTTCATATTTGATCTTGTGGCCGCCACATTGGTAATAAAAGAAAGTTATAATCGACTGAATGTCTTGTGTTTGTCATGTTCACACTCATACATGGACTTAAAGATAGATATTGTTCTGTGACCTATATAATTTTGAAATCTTACAAGGAGCTAGTCTCAGTCCTGATCTGCGCCAGACAATGTGCTACCATTGTCTTGTTTACTAGTTTGTCCCACAACTTAGGTGTACATAATTTATTGCATTACCACTTATTTGGTTAAACAAAAGTACAAAGATCAGTTTGTCCTCAAGCTATATCTTGTTCCTTATCTTATATGTTTAGAAGGATTGGTAAATAGACGACTCTGTTGATTTTGAAATTAAAGTTTTATGATCATGGTCCTAGTTTTTGTGGTCTCCCGTGACATCTTTATTTCACACGGCTTGCTGCTATCATTTAAACTTTATCACATTTCGTTGGCATCTGCCTAGTAACTTGCGCCAATGTATCTGTCTTTTGCTTTCGTTACAGATATGATGTTTGTCTTTTGGCATTGGTTGATATGCCATGATTGTTCATATAAACCAGTTCCACCCTTAGCAGTCAACCAACTGAATTTGCTTACTTTAGTGGATTACACAATCATTGTTAGTCAGAAAAATAGAACTACGTGATACATGTAAAGAGAAATGTAGATAAAAGGAATTTGGGCGACGACCAACTACAGTGAGTGAGGTGTCTTTTGTTTAAAATAGTTGATGCCTCATTTAGTTCTCATGTCTGTCAATGTAGCAAGTAGTGCAAGCTAAGCCACTCTCCATGTGCTGCTGTAGACTTAATTCTGGTGTTAGCTTCAGCATTGTCACTTTGATCTCTATCACGATCAAGTTAGCAGACGTTACAATTTGAAATGTTTTCTCATTGCAGGAGGTTACCTCAATTCTTATAGCAGATGGAGTCTCCAGTGAAAAAATACTGAAGAATTTCTGACTAAACCATCAAAATCGATTGTTGTATCATTAGTACTGAGGGACGGTGTATTGATTTGTTCCCCACTGCTGAGGATAGATTATCCTAAGCTTGGAAAAAGAAAATAAATACAATTTTGGGATTCTGACTCGTAAGCATCTTTGTAGTTTGTTTGTCAAAATTTTTAATGATCGCTCCCAGAAGATAGAATTATAAAATTTTAGCTTCGACATGGAAGGAACTTGCAAGTCAACTTGTTCTGAACTTTTAAATGATATTAGCCAATTTTTGTATCGATATCAGAAAGTCCGGTAAACTGATATTAAAGGCTGTAACGTCACGTAGACGATTTAGATACATGTCTAGACGTCAATCTACAAGTTTTCTTTGGTGTAGTTACATTTCTAAAACATTTAATAAGATCTAAATTTCCTTTTGGAGGAAAAAGAATTCCACTGCGACAATTTCAAATAAAATCCAACTCGTTATTGGAATACGTTGAGAAAGAACAGGCATCTCAATTCAAGTGACAAGTTAGGGTACAAATTCAGGCAACGTTACACAATTTAGTTTTCTGCAATCAAGAATTGAAGCAAAGTAAACAAGACCAATACAGTGAAGTGCTAACCCGCATTTTAAAAGATAAGCCTACTAGTTTTATCCTCATGGGCATCGTTGTAGTTGTTACCAGTTGCATTTCCTTTAGCATCTTCCATGTGCTTTCCATTGGGCTCAGGATCTCTGTCCTCATCTAAGTGATGGTGACGATGTTTGTGGTGATGATGGTAATGGTGGGCACTTCTCTTGTGCCTCAACTGTTTACCTGCTTCGTCATGGTTGTCATCTGATGACTTTCCTAAAGATCTGCTCCTTCTGTCGTGTAAGTGGGAATCAGAGTCTGCTGACCTAGAATCAACACTATGTGATCTTGATCGCCTATGACGTTTACGGTGTTTTGCGTGCCTTTTCCTTCTAACATCACCATCCTCATAACTAGAAGAATCAGGAGAAAGGGATCTCAACTGTCGGTGGCGTTTGTGGTGCTTAGAATGACCCCTTCGGATTCTTCTCTCATCCTCATCACTGTAAGAACCAGAAGAATCTGAATCTGACCTCTGATGGCGCCTGTGGTGCTTCGAATGACTTCTCTTGACTGTCTCAATATCACCATCACTGGAAGAATTGGAAGCACCGGAGTCTGATCTAGAATCATGATGTCTGTGCCTTTTGTGGTTTCGCTTCTTCCTCTTCCTATTTCCTTCGTAATCACTCTCATATTCATCACTGCCTTCATCACTTGAGCTTGAAGAATGTCTCTTTGGCTTTCTCTTGGATTTCTTCTCCTTCCTCTTCTCACTGTCACTTGTATCAGAGTGAGCGTGCTTCTTGTGCTTTTTGTGAGTTCTTTTACTTGACTTTCTTCTACCATCACTGCTGTCAGTGTCACTATCATTATCAGAAACTGACACAGATCTTCTCTTATGTTTTGAAGATTTCAGCTTCCTCTCTTTGGCTTCAGCATCAGCTTTTGCCTTGGCAGCAGCTTCTAGTTTCTGCTCCCATTTCAAAGGGGCTTCTTTCTTCTCCAAAGCTCTTTTCTTCTTCTCCTCAACCAGTTGCATGAACCTCCTGGTATCCATTTAGATATAAAAACCAGCACAATATCTGCATGTTTGTATGATGACCGGAAGTACATCTCACAGAAGAGAAAAAAAAATGTTAGTTCCTTAACCATAGAGTATGTTCAATAACAATCACGAACTTGTTTTAGAATCCCATATACGAAGATGAATACTAATGCCAAGTCAAAGAGTGATTGCTTGATATTCAATGTCATTCAAAATAAGCTAACAGAAAAGAACCTTAATAATAATGTTCTCTTTCCCTATAAAATACCAGGCATCACACTTCAGTCATAGATGCCCTCCTTCTTCCTCACATCTTAACATTCATCATTTTTAAGCCATACAGAAATTCAGAATAACAAAGATCCAACCAACATATGAACAGTGACTAATTACTCCAGAAAACCTGGTATATTACCCACTATGAATCATTCCTATCCTAGGTTAATCTACAAATCAGTATCCACCAAAATACCTAACAATAACAATTGTTACCAACTGAAAGGTTATGGCACTGACACAAGTTTACAATCAAAACGAAAGAATGCAAATCCATTCCACCAAGAATAATACACACGTAAAGAATGATACTTCTCACATTAGAAAATAAATGGAACAGTAGTTCGGAAATTCAATTCGGCTTTCTTACCTTATCCGGAGAAAACCCACTGCTCAAAAGACCAAAGTCCAGCCTCAACAGCCCAAAGCTGCAAATCTACTTCCAAACTGCCAGCAAGGTAATGACGTAATTTTTTTGTCAGATATCAGAGACCCATTCTTTAATCTTTAAATTATCAAACAGTGACAGAATATAGCTGAAGATCCATTTTTCACTAAATATATTTTCTTTCTTTGCATCACAATGAATTGAAATTTACTTTCGGCAACTATAGTTCTTTTTCTCAGTAACCGAGTCAAACCCCAGAATGAACATACATATAATCCCGTAATTTTAATTAATTGGACGATCAGATTAACGATATCAAAAACCCCAAATTTTACAACAGATCTTATCACTAAAACACAGAATTATAAACCCCTAAACTGTCAATGAATTGGTGACTGGAACGAGGTCATAGGATTAGCAGAAGAAACTTACCTGCTGGATAGAGAAAGAGAGAGAGAGAGAGAGAGAGAGAGAGAGAGAGAGAGCGAAAGATGTAATTCGTGGCCTCGGAAGAGAGCTAGGGCTTGACTTTTGGCTTTCCAGAGACGTCTACGCGTTGGCCGTTGGGGCCCTGGGGGGGTGTATAAATACAGGGACGCGCACGGCACACCGACTCTTAATTTTTTGCAAATATATAATTTTTTTGATTTTGTAAAATGAAAGGACTATAATGCCCCGCTAGTAAAGGAAATTTCCCTTTATGTTTTTTAAATAAAAAAGAAAAGAAAGTTTGTTTAAATAATTTTTTTTACCAAAGTAAAATGGCGTTATAGAACGAACGTAGAAATCAAACAAAATCACAGAAATTTCCATTTTTGAGTTTCCTTTGTGGAGAAGGAAAATAAAAACAACCCGCACAAGGCAGAGTGGCAGACTGACTTGGTCAATTTCACTCGTTAAAACTCCCAAGTCTATATTCTTCACCATCTTCTTCTTCATCTTTTTCATTTATTTTTTCCTTGAATTCATCAAATCTCAGCAAACTCGAAAATCCCAATAATGGCGTCTTCAGCCTCCACATCAGGCACCGCCACAAACGTCATGCTCGCCATCTTCGAGAAGAAGACGACCCAAATCGATCTCTACCGCCCACTCCGCAACTACATCGCCTTCAACTACTCCGAACGCGAAGCCCAGAACCTCGAAGACGATCTCCAAACGGTGAAACAGCTCCGCTCCGACCTCGAGCGCCAACCCGACCCATCACTCACTACCCGCCGCGACCTCCTCCAAAATTACTACAAAGCCCTCTGCCTCGTCGAGACCCGCTTCCCCATCTCACCCGATAAGGATCACATCAATTCCATCACTTTCGTTTGGCACGACGCCTTCAAAAACAAGCAAAAGGCTTCCCAGCAGAACATCCACTTGGAAAAGGCTGCCGTTTTGTTCAATTTGGGCGCTGTGTATAGTCAGATTGGGCTTTCCTACGATCGCGCCACCGTTGACGGTCGGCGGCTGGCGTCTCACGCGTTTATTGCCTCGGCCGGGGCTTTCGCGTTTTTGCGAGACAATGCGGCGACCAAGGCATCGATTGGGACCTCGACGACGGTCGATTTGTCGGTGGAGTGTGCTGGGATGTTGGAGAGGTTGATGCTGGCACAGGCGCAGGAGTGCGTCTTTGAGAATACCATAGCCAAAGGGAGCACGCCGGGTGTTTGCGCGAAGATCTCGAGGCAGGTGAGGGTTCTATTGTATCTATTTGATTGATTTCGAAGTGGGGTTTTGAGTGATTGGTGAAAACGATTGAATTGGGTTTTGATAGACTAGGAAGAACTTAGAAGTGTGTTGGTAAGGATTGTGTGATTGGTTGAATTGCAGCATATGGGTTTGTTTGAGTAGGCGATTCTGCTATGAAATGTTAATTTTCTTTTATTTCACAAGTTGTGTGCAGTGGGGATTACAGACGTTATTTATTGTAGAAAAAAGTGTACTTTAACTAAAACAATAGCAGGTATGAAATGGGTCTTATGGCTATGGCAAAACCGATTGCTTCCCGTATTCTGTTTGCAGGTAGTGGATTTTAGCTGACTTTTAGCAAATATCATATTGACAACATTGCACTGAAGACTATACACTTCATTGATATTCTCGGAATTGTAACTTTGTACTATGTTTTGGGTCTCTCCAACGTGATTAAATCATACGATGGTGGAGAAATTAAGTTTCATATTTCTATCATTTTTAATGATCCGCTTGGTTTTTCTTTAAATTGATTTGACATGGATGTGGTTATAGGTTGGGCTGTATTACGAGGAAGCTTTAGCGGCATGCAATGTTCCGCCTTTAAACCAGCATTTTGACAGGGCCTGGATCTCACATATGCAGTTAAAGGCAGCACTCTTTTATGCAGAAGCTTGCTATAGGTATGGTCTAGAGCTGCATGAGAAAGAAGAGATTGCAGAAGAAATTGCACGGTTAAAGAGTGGGATCAGTGCTTTATCTGAGGCTAAGAAATCCACAAAAGGGGCTGCTGCACAGATTCTGGATGCAATTAGTAAGTTAGAGGTCAATCTTAACCGTAATCTGGAGAGGGCTGTGAAGGAGAATGATAGAGTTTACCTCATGAGGGTTCCTTCCCCTAGTTCCTTACCACCCCTTCCAGCATTTTCCATGGTGAAGCCTTTGGCGATGAATGAGGTCTTGGATGCGAGCAAGGAGAAGATGTTTGCCAGTCTTGTTCCAGATAGTAGTGCTAAAAATCTTTCCAGATACACTGAAATGGTTGATGACATTATCAGAACACAAGCAGAAAAGTTGCAACAAGCGAGTGAACTGACCAGAGTGAGGCTCAAGGAAATGGACCTTCCAGAGTCTATTCTGGCATTGGAAGGGAATTTTACTCTTCCTACAGATCTTAAAGAAGATGTGGAGGCAGTGCAGATAAGTGGGGCCCCTGCTGGTTTGGAAGCTGAGTTACAGCAGCTTAGGGATTTGAGAAGGGTGAACCAGGAGATTCTGATACACATTGAGGAGCTCTTGCAGAAAGAGGCAAGAGAAGATGCTCAGTTTAAAAGCCAATTTGGAGCCCGATGGACGAGGCCTCAGTCAAGCACTCTTACAAAGAACTTACAGGATAGGCTAAACAGGTTTGCTGCTAACTTGAAGCAAGCTGCAGATAGTGATGCTCGGATAGAGCGCTCAGTCAGAGAGCATTCAGCTCTCATGTCAATCCTTGATCGTCGTCCGGTAATTCTCATTCGTCTTCTTCTCTCTCTCTCTCTCTCTCTCTCTCTCTCTCTCTCCGTGTCCAGTGGAATTGAACTTTTTTATCTACTGTTAGTGCCATGTATTTGTAAATTATTTCATGTTGTTTTTGCTCTCAGATTGAATCTGCCCTCCCAACTCTGGCAAGGCCAATAATGTCTTTGGATGCCAATGAAGATGCTATTTTGGGGGCCCTGAAGCAGAGCCTGGTAAGTCTGCCGCCCTTTGTAGTTCATCTCTATAAGGGTTACATGAATTGACTTATATGGTTATTCCCATATGTTTTAACATATTTCTGTCTTATGATGCTCATTCTTTTCTTGCTTGTGGTCCATTCCTATTTTCTTTAGATACTTGCCTAGTTGTGGTAATTTTTGTAATAATTTAGTGGATGCAAGTGCTAGTATTTTTGTAAGGTACTGTTTTCCATCCTCTTACTTGCTTTCAAATCATTATAATGTTTAAAAGAAAATGATTATAACCTCATGACAGTTTAGTGGTTGATCTCATACTAACTAGAGTATAGTTATAATGTATTATTAGTTTAAATATCTCTTAAACTATGTATGTGTTTGTGTATGCGCTCATTGGTGTCCCATATATCTATTTGTATGTATAACGTTATATGAAGTTGATCCTGTTGTATTGTATTGGAAAATAGGTTAACCTTGTGCAACCTTAGTTGGTTTGGTCATTGTTAGTTTTGTAATGAATACTTTTACATTTTAAATTTTTGTGCTCAATGCAGAGGCAATTGGAAACTCTTGGTGCTCAACGAGCAGGTCTTGAAGACATGCTTAAAGAGATGAAAAGAAAGGTGCATTGATAAGTTGATTATATTCGTTTTGCTTGTTAATGCCTTTATTGTTCTTTCCTCCCCTCTTTTTGTGTTTTAATTTGCTTTTATTGAGATGCCCTTTTTCTTTCCTTATTCTGTTATTAACTAGCTGGATTGATTTCCTGAAATCATAAATGATTCCTTGATTGGTAGAATTATTCTTACTTTGATTTTGGATGCAACTTTTTGGGAAAAGTTTCTTTGCTACTGTAGCACTTCATGGATGAGCTTTTTCAATCGTTAATGATGCCTTGGTTCTTAAGTTTAATGCTTCGTTGGGCTTATATTTATATTTGTCCTCAGGATGATATACTTCCTAAGTTGATGACATCAACTGGCTCCTATGAGGATCTGTTCAGGAAGGAGATATCAAAATATGATCATATATGCGAAGACATTGCCCAAAATATTGAGGCTCAAGAACAATTATTGCTGCAAATCCAGGTCTATTTCTTATTTAATCTTAGTTGGACTTTCATTTACATGTTTCTTCAATATAATTTTTTCTACTCATTTTGAATTTTCAATAGAGCAATTTTTTATATTGTGGTTGAGAGGGATAAGGTTTAAATGATATGCTGGTCCAAGGTTCAATTCCCTTTAACATCTTGGAGGAAGTCTTATGACAGAAGACACACACACACTGGATAGTTGAGATGGATGTGTCAGATTAAGCTACGTGCTATGGAAACTTCTGATTACCCGTGACCTGTCTGTCATTCTTTAGTTTGAAAAATCATGTATAGTATTCCCTTTGAGTGTGACTTTTACAGATATATGTAGGGTCTCTAAATATCAGGGGACAAACTTCATCTTCTTATATAATATTCCTAAATAAGTGGAACTGGATCTAGTTCTCTACCCATCTCATGATCAAAATGATTGTTGTCCTCTGCAGGCCCAAAATGATGAGTTTGCTGCCATCTTCAACCTTGAAGATTACAAAGGTGGGCTTAAATAATAATTAAAAAAAACTTGTTTGTTATGGTTTATATGCTTTAAGGTTCATTGATGCATTCTTCATCAAGAAAAAAAAAAGGTTCATTGATGCATTATTGAATGAGAGTCATTCAAGTATGGTAGTCCAATCAAAGTTAGTTTTGAGCTGGAAGTCTGGATACTTTTATTTTACAAGAATGATCATAACATGAATCCCAATGAGGTTAGCTGGTCAACAAAGTTAGTTCATTTCACCGGAGGCTTGAGACAAGCACAAGTACCAGATGTCCTGTTTCTTGACTATGTTAGATGAACTATGGTTATCTGCCTTCTTGTTTGTTTACATGCTAGTATTAGCCTATCCCTTATTGACCATGATGTGCTTGGGCCCGTGTGCTGGGTGAGGGTGCTTGTTTAGCTGTTAAGGTTCTCACTGATTTCTCAACCTGGAAACTTTCTTTACCTTCAGGGGGAGAGACAGTGACTATCCAAAAGTCTCCGCATTGAGATCTCATCATTTTTCATATAATTCTGAGGGAGATTATCTATTATACCCAATATAGGGGCCCAAATTATTTATAAAAAAAACCTATATGAAATGAACTTTAGAAACTCACCCAAAGCCCATTTACAACATAACAAAGAGGCTTTTAACTTCTTATAAATTAAAAAACTGCCATTGATTTCTTAAAACAATCCCAACCCCAAAACCTCATATAAAACCCAAAACACTCAATAGGGCATCAAAGTAATTTAATAATTAAAATTAAATTCAATAGGGCCAGCTGTCATTTTTTGGGTTTGTTTATAGAAATTAAATGGTGTAGGGTTTATCTATATCATTTGTGCTAAGAATAGGTATATGACTAAATATCTCTAATTTTCTTAGGCTGATCATCATATTAACTAGTACAGGAATATATGGCAACTCAGGAATGCTTCCTCCTCTTCACTTTGTTGGAAGGTTGCATCATTTATTCTCAATCTGGAGTGTTGCATATTCAAACGAACTCATGTCTTTTTCACGTCCAACATGGGTGTTTTACATGCTTATAAGATGTTTCTCAAATTTGCATCTGTTCTTCTTACCTGTTCTGCTGTCCATGTTGATATCTCAAAATCTATCATTATAAAAGCATTCTTCTATGTTGGGTCTTTTTCTTTACTCTATGTTTGGATGTGTTTGTAAGAAGGTCCTCCAGCTTTGTTACGGCCTAAAGTTTTACTTGTATAATTTTAATGGATTGCGTTCTTTTTTTTTTTTTTTCTTTTTTTTTTTTTTTTTTTATTTTTTCCTTCTCAATTTGTCACAGCTTCTCGTGAGAAATGTTACAAGCAGATTCAAGCTGCCATAGCAAAGTTCCGTGAAATTAAGGACAACATAAACGAGGGGTTAAAGTTTTATGTTACTCTCCAGGTAATTTTCAACAGTGTGCTGTGCACTTTACTTTATAGCTATTCGAGCACACAATTTTTGTAGTTATGGTTTGATCTCTTCTGGTGTCTTATGTGAGAGCATGCTATCATCTTCACATAGAATTGTCTCTCTGACTTCATGTTCCGATGGTGTGCAAAAAGAGTCTCGTTATCTGAGGGCACGATAAGCGTTGGTGGGTGGTTAATTTGATTTTCCTGTTTTCAACAGGATGCAATAACGAACGTAAAGCAGCAGTGTAGTGATTTTGTGATGACTAGAAACATCCAGTGCCAGGAAATGATTGAAGATGTGCACAAACAAATGGCAGGCCTAAATTTCCAAGATGCTAAAAGCGTAGGCACATACAACAGCTATCCTTCTGTCGGACATCAAGCTCAGAGACCTGTTTCACAACAGCAAACAGATCCTCGTCCTCAAACACCATACTACCATCCTCCTGAGCAGCCAGCAATGGCTGGGTATAATCACCCTCCCCCCTATAGCTCAACGCAGCAGATGCCATCTCCTTACGTTCTGCCACCTCAAACTGGTAGTCCATACGCACCTTCTCAAGCTGGTAGTCCGTACCCACCTCCTCAAGCCGGTAGTCCATACCCACCTCCACAGGCCCAGCAACAGCCACCTGCAAACCATGACTATGGTCAACCTGCTTATCCAGGGTGGCGAGGTCCATACTACAATTCCCATGCACAACAAGCTGGATCTCATCCTCGACCTCCTTACACCATTCCAGGTCAATACCGTCCTCCTCAACAGGGTGGCTACTATAAGCAACAATAGTGTAGGCGCCCATACCATGCGCTATTAAATCTGATTGTTTATGAAGTGTTGTTAATTTTTCCGTTTGGATGATTTCCCGGTAGAATGAAGATGTAGTCATCTGAGATTGTATAGTCTATATAAGTCTGGAATATTTCGGGGTGACTGGTGGTTTGCTTGATGTCCTTCATGTGAAGTGCATATCTCTCGTTCAGACATTTTTCAGTGTATAGCTTGAGCATTTTTAAATACATGTTGTAGACGTATAGAAATAATGAATTCATGTATTTGAATTAGTATGGCCAGATTTTATCATTTCATCTAGAAATACGTTCAGTTTTGTAGACTTCTGAAAGCATGACATGAAATCATATTCTACTATTAAAAATATGCAAGGTTGGAGGCAGGGGATTATTGTGAAAACAACTCAATTGCCCTCACGCCATGTATAAGGTTGGAGGCGAATGTGAAACCCTTCTTCTGGTACAGGGTTCATGCCGCCTGCAATCTTGGCGCATGGATTCAACACTTGCCATTTGTACCTAGTAACGAGGCGATGCAAGAAACAGAGAAGCTGGAGTCTCGCATATTCTTTTCCAGGACAAATTCGAGGACTGCTGCCAAATGGGATGTTAGAGTAAGCCTGTGGAGTTTTTCCATTCTCAAACCTGCTCGGGTCAAACACTTCCGGTGCACTGAAATTCTCGGGGTTTTTGTTTGTGGTGCTTGCGGACCAGTACACCTTCCACCCTTGTGAAATTGTATAGCCTTCATAGGTGAAGTCAGTAATGACCTCTCTGAATGTTCCTTGAAGAGGTGGTACCAGCCTCATCACTTCAAGTGCCGCGCTCCATGAATATTTCATCTTCTTTATGTCATCCCAATTAAGTGCCTCCCCAGATTCTTTTGACCTTGCAATCTCCAATTGTTCTGCAGGGTTAATTCCAAATCTTTAGTAATTAATGAATTCATTTAAGTTATCAACATTAACTAGTATAAATACCTGTTTGGACTTTGTCACAAATGTCAGGTCCTTCACCAAGATATTTGACAAGGAAACTTGTAGCCATGGAAGGCGAGTGAAATCCATCCATCATCAAGCCCATAACTTTATCAGCAACTTCATTCTCTGGCATGAACCGCCCAGTGGGATCCGGATTAAACAGCAAATGAGACATGATGTCATTTATTTTGATCTCATTGGCACCACTGGACATAGCTGCTTTCTTCTCCTTAATCAGCAGCATAACCTCCTTCCTCATCGCATTCGCGGCTTTCATTGCCCGATAAAACGCGGTTCCTGCAACATTCAGAGGAGTAGTATGCAGCCCTGAAGTGATGACATTGGTCAATCTGGTAAGCTTTGCACTGCGCTCTTGATTGTCTTGGAGTCCAGTAAAGAAGCGAGATGATAGAGTCATCACAAGTAGCTGAGCCAGGTGATATACCTCAACTCTGCTTTTGCCGTCCCAGTGAAGCTTCAAATGTTTCTGAACCATACAATCCATACTCACTGCGTTTCGAACTACAGCTTCAGTTTTGAGAAAACCCGGTGAAGTTCTGATATGAACAGCTTCTGCTCGTGATGTGGGCGCCGAAGCAACTTTTTGATAGGAAGAGCGGAAGAGCTTCTGCATGGACTGTGGTTTCCATGACAGAACCAGCTTTTCCTTGTTGGAAGAGATGAATTTGTGACCGGCATTGCCACAAAACACCACAGTTGGCTCCCCCAATATGTTGGTTTTGAAGAGTTTCGAAGGGTGCTTTTTCATTCTGTCCCCTACAAACTTTTCCTGCGTCTGGTTAAGGAAGGCAAAGGTTTTGCCGATAATTGGCCATCCAAAACTTCCTGGAGGAAGATTGGCTTTTGGAAGAAGCATTGGATAATATGAACTTGAAAGCATGAAAAATGAGAGCCACGATGAATAACGTGGGAACGATTTATAGATAAAGGAAGGAGGATATTCTCCATGGTTGATGTGATTATAACTCGAGATCAAGTTTAACCAGTAGCAAATTAAACCAAAACAAATATATTAACCATGCAGAGATGAGAGAGATGCATTGCAAGGCTTGTCAAGCTACTTCTTTCGATATATAATCGCAAACCTTGGATGAGTCCCTCACTATAGAATTATACATGAGCACTCTTAGTTTTGATTTGGATTGCAGTGTTTGTTTCTATATTTGGGCTTCAGGTTGTTGGGCCTGAACTTAAGTGCCCATTTGTCTTTTGGGCCTATCTTGTTTCTTCTGTCTTTATGGGCCTAAACAAACAAAAAAACATTGTTCTGGTTCGATTATTGTAGGTATAAAGCCCGTGCCAGAGAGCAAAAATCTTAAGCCACACAAGGTGAACCCATTTATTTTTAAATGGTGCTATTCTTATCACATTTGTATACTACATTCTTATACCACCTTATGTGGCAAACACCCAATAACATCAAATCTTAGGCATTGCCATTGCCATTGCGCTTGAGAATTACAAGCAGCACATGAAGTGTCGGCATATCTGTGTCCAGAAGAAGAACTGAAGGCTCTGCAGCTTTGATGGAGCACTGCTCAAACAGTTCCTCAGTGACATTACTTCCAAAATGTTTCCCAATAATTCCCTCAAACACAGCCTTTATGCCTGAAATACACTGTTTAGGTTCAGTCTTCATCTTTGGGTGGCTTATTGCCTCCATTTTCTCTATCCTAAACTCTCTGTTTCTCTCCATGATTGCCTTCAACTCTTCAAGTGATGGAAAATATACAGGCAAGTTAAAACAGTCCACTTTCTCCTTGCTCACCAATCCCTGCATGCAGTACACGGCCACCAATTAGAAATCAAATATTTCAAAATACAAATACATCTTTTGTGTCTCTATGAAAATGACAATGAACGCCAATGTTGGTTAGGTCAGTTCATCACGGCAATGAGTCCGCGCCCTCTAGACCTAAGTTCGAATTCCCTCTCTCTAAATTAGATTAATTTAGAGTAATTAGACTATCACTTGTATTAAAAAAAGAAAATGAAAATGAACTGATTAATTACCATGTTGGCCATGCCCATCAGGGTTGATCCCAAAAGTTCAAACTCCAAAGCAGTTCTGGTTTCAGACAGAGAACAAAATTCCAACAGGCAGACCTGGTATAACTAGTGCCATCAGCCCTCCACCCACAAGTTCATTTGCTCTTGCTTGCAAAAACATCCCCATATCATTAGCAAATTGACAAGAATAAGCCTCCGCAACTTCTCTGCTGCTGTAGAGAATCTTCCCTGCATTCCATGCAGAGGAGGTTCTTTCGGCGACCGGTTTCGGCACTTGTGAAAGCCAATTGAGTGCACAAGATGAGTGTACAAAATGAAGGGAAGCCTTGGGAAACAAGGGACCGTGAAAAGAACCAGGCACCCCAGCTGCAAAGTAGGGTCTTTGGCTTTGGGGTGGGAGTGATTTAAACAGAGTGTTGAAATCATTGGAGACTAGATCACTGAAGAACACCTGAAATTCTGGGAATGTTTGGGAATTTTGTGACCCTAATTTGGGTTGAACAGCTTCTAGTATGGTCTGCACTGCAAGAAATGTATTGGGTCCAGTAGCACAGCCTAAGTCTGCAATGCGAAATGTGTTTAAAGAATCGGAAGCAATTAGTTGTTTGATGTCAAGCTTCTCAGCTATTTCCTCTTTGATCATTTCTTGAGCAGCTTCCAAAGCTCCTCTCTGTTGTAAAAACCAGGACATTAATTAACATCTTGAAAAATAAAATAAAATATAAAAAAAAGAAAAGGAAAAAAACCTGATAGTAGGAGTTCTGGGTGTAGCTTTGTGGTCCAGTTCCTTCATTCACTGCATCCATCTCTCTCTAGCTCTCTACAGTATGACTATGGTTATGGTGATGGGGATCTGCTATGTGGTAGCAGTAGACTCTCTCTAGCTCTCTTTCTTATAACCTTTTTGGTTTATACTTTCAGACAACTTCCTTACACATACTGAAAGCTTTTGAAAACATCCAAAACTCTCTGTTTATTTAGAACTTGAAACTAACGCACTTTTCATCATGGAGGACACCTGGAATGCATCTGAGGTCGACCATGCCATGTGGTCCATCCAAGTGCTAGCCAATCAGTGAAGAAACATTAATGTAATCGAGGAAAGAAGCCAAAATTAAACAAGAGTGCTGCTATTTTTTTTCTCGTTATATTTTTTTATTCATCTTATTTTTAAAATTTTAAATACAAATTTATCTCTTTATAAAATAACTTCTTGATAAAAAAACCCTCAAATTTTCCTACATTTCTCAGACATGTCAGATTTTTATTTTTTTTATATTTTTTTATATTTCTAAATTGGGGTTAGCAGTGTCGTTATCTTTTTTCTCTCTCTTCTCCTCCCTTTCCTTGCTCTCATCTTCCCATCACAAACAGACACCAAAGACATGATTCTTTCTTCCTTTAAGCTTTCTGGGTTTCTGGGTTGCTTGCTCCTTTGTCTATCTTTCCTTTAACACACCTCTTAGATCATGAAAACAAATGTAAATTTCAAGAATTTCAAGGAACTTTAGAATGGGGAGTGTCGAGGGTGGGGTTTCGATGTTAAATTGTAATTTTTCATTGCACGTGCGATGAGTTATTCTTGTCAACGCTCACAAGAAGTGGGTTTTCATTTTCATCTTGTTATTATACTCTGAATTTGGTCCTTTTCTTTTTCTTTGTGCTAGTGTTGGAATTTATTGGAAACAATACCAATATATTGTCTCCAATTGCAGCCTACACATATGGATCATATCATGATGGGATATGAGAATTCCAAACAAGTTTTAAATTGGAGAATTGGAGCCTTTGATTGGGATGGTGGAACGACATTAAGTTTTGCTGTTGTGAAATTATTGTAAGTTTACAATATGCACAAGTAATATAGAGATAAGTGAAGTATCGTTACCACAAAGAGTGTAATTTCCTTTTAAGTACCAATTATGATTAATTCATAAGTTTATTTGAACAATTGATTAATGAGAAAAATTGATTTATTAAACTAAATTAAAACAAATATGAAAAATAGCAATTCAATTAATGGTGGAAAATCAAGTTGATGAAACGCTAGAGCATCCGATTTCACCATAACCAATTCCACGTAATTCTTATAGCTAATTAACCCTAATTACTACCCATGTTGACAATTGGTTTCTCCTAATTCATTCAATATCCTCTCTCAGGCTCAACCAAAAGTATTCTTAATTAACAATTCATTCTCTCTCGAGTAACGAATTTAAAAAATCAAGAACTCATTAAGTTCTATGAGAATCTGCAAGAAAATTCTATGAGTTATGTTAGTCCCTCTCTGGCCCTCATTCAAGACATGATATTTGTTATGAGAAGCAAACATCAAACATCTCCTCTCGATCTCTGTTTGGATCATTAATTAAATATTAGCTAGATATTTAAAGAATTAAGAATAGTTACAAATAATCAACATGGAATAGTAATAAGAAATTAATATAACCGTAAAAATTAAGTATTCAGGGTTACGCTAGCAACCAAAATTAGTTCATGACAAAAGAAAAGAAAAACAAAATAATTGTTGTCATAAAACTAATTTGGCCAATGGGCTTGATCTTCAGATTCTCCACAGCAACACCTTCATAAGCTCCAAAAGTACCGCAACAGCAAACTCTTGGCTCTCTCTCTGATATTGTTTCCCTCTTTTCGGCCAAGTAGGCCGAGTGAAGGAGTTCTTGGTCATTCTTCTTTTAGATTGCATAGGCGTGCCACCACCAAGCCACTGACTGGCTCGAATGGAAAAGGTTGGATTGTTGTGCTCGCGCTTTTGACTTCTAACCAGCCAATTGTTCAGTCAAGCAAGGAATCTCTTCTTGGCCTAGGTTCTTTCACTTCCTCGGGATCGAGGATGGTTAGGTTTCGTATAGGTATTTTAGTATTTTTTGAGATTTTTAATGATAAAGATGCAAATTAAATTAAAATATGCAATTAAACTTCAAGACGAGAATTGAAGTGCAATAAAGTAATCAAAGCGATAAATAAACTTAAATTAAGCGAAGAACAAAATAAGAACGATATAAATGATAAAGGCAATAATTTGAAATTAAATTAAGTAAGCAAATTCTATAACAATTAACAATAAAGCAGTAAAGTTGAATCTTAAAACAATGTAATGGAAAATACAAGAAATTAAACTTACACTAACGAAAGTGAAGAACTGATCTAGTCTACTTGCTTGGGAAATAAAAGACTTAGTCTAGGGATAGAAAATTGAAAGACAAAAAGTAGGTTTTTTGTGTCTGATGTCGGGGCCTCTACTCTTCGTCTGATGTAGTTTATATAGGGGCATTCGTCAGCCCATGGGCTGACCATTAAATGGTCAAAGGTCAATTTCGTTCAAAATATTTCCTTGCATGGCTTCCTAGATTCGTGGAATTGATTCGAATAATATCATCGGATCGCAAATCTGATTAATTGATTCTCTCCTCCATAGGATCGTTCCAGATTGACATCATTCTCTTTGATTGCTTTCCTCGGATGGATCTAGTCACGTGCACAACAACATCCGGAGGTTTTTGGGCCTAGTTTCGAGGGTCGGGCTTGAATCTTCGAAAACTTGGGCTTAACTTCTAATGAGGCGACATGGCTTCTGAAGTCTCTAACTTTGTTTGAACATAATCCATTAATGTTGGGTAACTTAGAATCTCAATGAGTTCATCTGCACCATATATATATAATATTATATCCATACATTACATATATGGTACCAGGCCATTAAATGGTCATCCGACTTCATCACCAGACCTTAAGGTCTCTAGGCCATTTGGCTTTTTGTATTTAAGCTAGAGAGTGAACCACTTTCAGCCACACCTCTACCCGGCCAGCTATCACACACCTCCAGCCAACTCTTCTCCAGTCAACCTCAAAAGGCCAACTCCTTGGCCATTCTATCAGCCAACTTCGAAAACATCAATTGGCATTCATATATATATAACATTATATATAATATTATACACAGCAGCCCACTTTTTATTGAATTATAATATATATATATATATATATATATATGCATGTCAACCAAAGTGACGGGTTCACAGCAGCCCACTTTTTATTGAATTATAATATATATATATATATATATATGCATGTCAACCAAAGTGACGGGTTCACAGCAGCCCACTTTTTATTGAATTATAATATATATATATATATATATGCATGCCAACCAAAGTGACGGGTTCAACCAAATTGATGCATATATATATATATATATATATATATGTAATATTATATACATATAATCAGTTGTCTCAATATTATTGAGACTTGCGAACACCAGGTTGGCTAGACTAGCCAACCTTTCACCTCACTAAAGAAAAATTGACTTGACGTGGGGCCATCAATTCAAAAACCAAATATCAATATGGAAATTGGCTTTTCAATTCAGAGACAAATATCAGCGTGGAGATTTGACCTGGCCTTCTTGATATCACCCAAGGGACTGAAACCCATCTGCTGCAGCTTGATAAAAAGAAATCCCAACTCAAGAACTCACCTTCCTTTTACTATTCCAGCTGCCATTGAAGGAAACCTATACTTCAGCTGATTTTTGGTGGTGAGAATTCTTCATTCTCTTAAACCTCTTGGTTGGCTCCAAGCCAAACTTGTGGGTCTTGCCATTCTATTTATTTATTATTTGACTATTGTTATTCTAAATAACAATATTTTTTATTTTGGTTAGGCATTTGAGTTTTCACTTGACCTGGTTTGGTTTGAATTTGATGACCATATCTAAACATATATATTTGTGGGTGTAGTGAAATATAGTGAAAAGTATTTGGTAGAAAAGATGATCCCGACTCTTAAGTTAAAGCTTTGTATTTATAAGCCAAGGAAATCCTCCAGAAATAAGGAAAGGCAATATCTAATTAAGAAGTGGAGGAATAATAGGAATATTGAGAAAGCAAAAACTCACTTCGATAAACGAGAAAAGGTGCGGCTGTTATTTGGAAATAATTAACTCCAACTCAAAGAAGGAATTAGGAAATTGAGCTTGGGTAGAAAAAATAGGAAAATAGGATCACGGTTTAAGTGGATCTTGGCAAGACTAGATAGGCCCAGGTGACATTAATTCAATTCCAGCCCATTATAACCTACAAGTTTCGAGTGCTTCTATAGTGAGTGGAAAGTTATAAGGGGTTTTTTTGAGGGGTATGTAAGAGCCGTTGGATTTCATCCAACGGTGAGTTTTTAAAAGAGGGTGCATGTAGAACCGGGTTGAAATCTGACCCGTTTGGAGACCCAACTTCAGCTGAAGATTTTTCCCTCTCTGTGAAAAACTCAAGAACACAATCCTCTCTTTTTAATGTAATGCAAATCCACAATTAGAAAGATCCAAAGCTCCCAAACTCTATAATCGCTCCATTGTCATCAGCTCCTTGGGAGGCCTGCGATCTATGGTATCCTCGGTATGATGATTAATGGCTTTTACCTAGCTATTGCCCTGTTTTGATTCTATGATTGAAGTGAAAACCCCTTCTCTTTTTCGTTCAGCAGAAGAGATTCCAGATGAAAGCAAAGTAGCATATCTCTTTTTCGTGCTGCTGCAGTTGTTCCTGGATTTTGGTAGAGATGGAGTCTCCACTACGAAAGAATCCTCTCTAATGTCCACCACATTCTTTGAAGCTGACTGAGTTCGGAGCTCCCGATTGACTTTGAGAGGTAAGTTCACTCTTGCTGGATTGATTTTGTTGGGTTTGATTTGTTTTTTGTGAGGGTGAGAAATTTGTCATTTGTGGCATCAATAATGCGTCATTTGCTCTGCTATCAATAATGCGTCATTTGACTTTGAGAGGTAAGT